ATTTAGCGTGTGGTTTAAAGTATGTAAACTGTAGTAGGATGAATTTTTGTAAAAGATTTTATGACTGGAGAATTTCAGGAAAGGTATCAGAAGTCATAGGTACTGCGACAGGACAATATTTTCTAGCCCGCTCCCTTTTTTCTAAAGTCCGTTATTTTTTTCTTTTCTGTTAATTTCAATTATTTTCGCGTTTTCTGTATACTATGAACATACATAATTGTTTATCATAAATAAAGTGTATTTGCTATTTACTATCAATTCCAACTTTATCATCCACGGCGGTCACTGATATATTATATAGAGAGTCTCTATATTTTATAGTAGTATGATCATAGTATACATGCAGATTTAAACGCGAAAATAATTGTCTTGACCCCGAGTACTTATGAAAATTATGTGTAATTTTAAAACAGTCCTAAACAGAAGTCTTGTCTATGACTAAAACAATATCTGGACACCTTTATTTTCGTTTTTCTCCCAAAATAACCCAAACTGAATAATCATTAGAATAGATGACAGATGCGACTATGCATGGTACCTTTAGGACACAGAGGCATGATGATTAATTTATTGTGGAAGGAAGAGAAGCGACACACAAAATGAGGTCTTCTCATTTAATAGTATAGATAAACAATAATGAAAACTTTCAGAATCTTTGCTAAACAGTGTGTCCCCCCAAAAAAGAAAAGCAGGACTGAATCAGAGAAAAACTAGAAAACTGACATGTCAGAAACAGCCTAGCTTGCATGTTTTGGCAAGGGCTATGATAAAAAAAGTTTGCATTTCATTTCAAGGTGGGATGAGCCATCAAAGTTTTATCATTTGGTTTATATTTTTACAGACTTATTTTTATATTTGTTAATAATATAGTATTAGACATTTTAAGATAATTGTTTACAAAAGAAATAAAATGCTCCACTAGGTGCAGCTTGATACGACCCCAGAGGTCGAACCCTGAACAGTTGGGGCAAGTATGGACACAACATTCAAGCTTGATACAGCACTGAATTTGGATTGTGATTAAATATTTGACACAGCATAGGTTTCTGACACAGAATGAATGTGGTCTAAGAACTTTAAAAATTTTAATTCACCTATTCAAACCATATCATTATTATTTGCTTTTATATATAAATCAGAAAAAACCAATTTAAAATGGAAAATTTTAAAGAAAAAAAAGGAAAAAAAAATCCCCCACCCCAATTTTTTTGAACCCCCTTATGATTCATCACCCCCAAACTCAATCCCAACCTTCCCTTTGTGGTATGGTACCTTGCAGTACAATTTCAGAGAGATCCATACACTTGAACACAAGTTATTGTCTGGAAAATAGAAAAATGTTTGTTTTTTACCCCTTTTTGGCCCCAAATTCATAAACGTTTAGGACAATTACCCCCAAACTCAAACCCAGCTTTCCCTTTGTGATATGGAACCTTGTAGTACAATTTTATAAAGATCCATACACTTACACACAAGTTATTGTCCTGAAACTAGAGAAATGCTTGTTTTTTTGCCCCTTTTTGGCCCCTAATTCCTAAAATTTTGAGGCAATTACCCCCAAAATCAATCCCAGCCTTCCCTTTGTGGTATGGTACCTTGCAGTACAATTTCATAAAGATCCATACACTTGCACACAAGTTATTGTCATGAAACTAGAAAAATGCTTGTTTTTTGCCCCTTTTTTAGCCCCTAATTCCTAAAATTTGGAGGCAATTACCCCAAAAATCAACCCCAGCATTCCCTTTGTGATATGGAACCTTGTGGTACAATGTCAGAGAGATCCATACACTCACACACAAGTTATGTCTGGAAGTTACAAAAATGCTTATTTTTGGCCCCTAATTCCTTAACTGTTGGTACAATAACCCCCAAAATCAATCCCAACCTTCCTTTTGTGGTATTGAACCTAATGGTAAAATTTGATAGAGATCCATTCACTTTAACTAAAGTCAGAGTGCTAAAACCGATGTGTCTTCGGACATCGACGACGCCAATGTCATACCAATATACAACCGCAAAATTTTTTTTTGCGGTCGTATAAAAAGGGGGACTTTATTGAAAACTATTCATCTCCATCACAGAATGAGATATGCTTTCAAATCTTTAAAATCATAAAACTTACAAAAAATAAACACAATCAAATCTTAACTAAATTTGCAACTTGGAAAACACTTATGTTCAAAAATTCATATAACATCCAAAAAAGGACACTCACAGATATACACAAAAATTCTATTGTTTTTGTCCTGCAAAACTGGCAAAAATGGAGGAAAATTCTTATTAGAGTTACATCCCTTTATCTACATACAATGACTATTAACAGACAGAATGGGAAGACATTTCGTTGTATTTACTATCTATATTATTTTCATCAGGACTAGAAGGATTACTAATAGTTAGCATAGGTATAACAAGTTTGCTTCTGCTTTTTTTCTTAGTTTTTTTCTTCCTTCCCTCTTCTGATGAGCTACTGCTACTTATTTCAATTTCTGCTATGTCTAAATTTTCTAATTCCTCTAGAGGATCTGCACTACATCTTTTATTCCTATTTATAATCTCATGTTCACTGTCAGATGAACTTTCATCAATTTCTATTTTTATTTGACATCCATTTTTAGTTATACTTATATCATAAGTATCATTGTTTGCTTGATCTAGATTATCTAAAGCTTCTAAGGGAGATGACTCCCTTAAGACTACTTTTCCATTTGAACATTCCATTTCGGCACCAACACTGGAATCAGCGGTTGTTTCCTTTCCTGAATCAGCTAAGCTTTTAGCAAATTTCAAGAATTCATCATGTCTATCATCATCACTACTCTCAATCTCCAGATCAGTTTCTCCATTGGAAGATTCAGTAGTATCAGATTCTATCATTTCACTATTGTCTTGTGACATATACCCTAAGAAAGGATGAGGCTTCCTTGAATCTTCATCTAAATTAAAATCATCAGATGGGGCAAGTGATAAATAAGGAGGGTCATGTACACTTTCAAAACTATATTTATATCCTCTTTCACGAGGAAAACTCACTTTTCTACGAGTACGAATATTTGGCATGTCCTTTGAGCTTTGACGATGATTTAATTTTGGTTTACGAGCAGTTGGCTGAAAAACATTCTCCTCCGGTATTTTACACGTCCTACTAAGAGTGTCAGTTGCTGATGACAAAAGAGACACTGTATCATCTCCCTTGTCAGATTCAACGAAACTAATAGGACGTGATCCGGGAGTGCTTGGTGTTGATAAGTCTGCTGGTTTAAAGGTCGTAAATGTGATCCCTCCGCTACTTCTATTACTTTTACTTAAATACTTACCTTCGCTTAACAAATATACAGCTGCCGGAGATGGAAAGTCTAAACTACCATTATCACTTGCAATATGCTGACTATCTACAAAATCAACAGTCTCATCATTTCTACTTTGATCAATGATTGTTTTAGCCTTCTCACTTTTTTGTTCAATATTTTGCTTATCTCCATTTATATTTTCAGTCTGAGACATAAAACTTTCCTGTTCCTTTTTTGTTTTAATCACGGACTGTTTTTGCAATTTGCTATGTTTGCTACTATCTTTTGTCACAGATTTTGACCTTTCATTTTTAAAATCTTTTCCATTCTTGGATTTTTTATTGGCGTTTTGTTCAATTTCAGTATTCTCAGTACTTTTATCAGTGCTTGAACTCTGATCTAAAATACTGCTTTCTTCTTCTTCATTGGTACCCATTTCTTTCAAATCCTCATTATTAATTTTAAATTCTTTACTTTGGTAAGATGTTAGATGAGATATAGCATGGTCTGTTTTCAAATCAGTACTAAGGATTGTATCACACTTTTCATGTTGGTCTTTAATGTGTTTGACAATGTCAGTCTCAAACACAGGACTAGTAGTGTCATCAATACTCGAAAAAGTGTCTCTTGGCGGAAGAGTGAAATAATTTCGTCTTTTAGCACCTGATGGCGACATGTCTAGAGAAGTCTGAGAATGTCCTCCAGGAGTTCTCTTCCCTGATGGGGAACGACTTTTTAAAATACTAAATCCTTTTTCTGATGGCGAACGACTATGGGGAGATCTCTTTGTTCCACAAGAAAATGATCTTTGATGCTGTTGTGGAGAAGGAGATCCATCTTCAGAACCTGCATACACTTTGACCTGTTCAACCTGTATATTGGTGGGACGCTTCTTTTTCAAACTTCGACTCCTTCGCAGAGAATTGAATTGAACATTAGGCTCGACTGGACTTATAATATCATTTTCTTCATCTAGCTCTTCAGAAAAATGCCTTCGATGAAGAATATAAGTGTCAATTAAATCTTCACTATTAGCAAGAGATGAAAAACTAAAACTGTCACAGTCGATACTAGTTTGTGCTGAGAGATCAATATCTGTACTGTGAAAATCAATAGAGTCTTGAGACATTGGTGATGCTAGATCAGGTTCTATATGTTTTACTGGTGAGTTTTGATGGGATGACACACCAACACTTACAGAAATACGAGATCCTGCAGGAAAATCTTCCTTCAAATCAATGATAAAAGTTTTTTCTTTGGCATCCCCTTCTGCAAGTCTTCTCTTTTCTTCTTGAACAGATGCAATCAAGTTTTCAATTTCTCGCTGAGTTTCAGCTTGTAGATCATGTTCTTGATCAGTAAATGTCTTAATATTGATGCTGCTTTGATTTTCTTCTTGTACCATTCTTCCATTACTTTCATTTGATGATTCTTCTTTCCCAAGTTCTGGTGAAAAAACGACCTTTTTAGAGTCCCTACCAAGTGAGGAGTAGAGTTTTTCTCTATAAGTATCTGGAACATTTTCTATATTATACAAATCAGAATTAAGCTTATCAATTCTATTTTCTACCTGGTTAAATGTATACATATGAGAGGATAAACCACCACCAGTTAGTGAGAGATCTGATATGTCAGTTGGATTTTGATTGGATGACAAGTTTTGATTATGTACAACTATAGCGTTAGTAATGACTAAGTTAGAATGAGCACCTCTTTCTTCCTCACCTCCGCTGACAAGATACGCCTTCGTGTCAATTGTCCCGTCTGGTGTTGAGCTGTGTTCTGGTTTTGGTGATCCAAGGGAACGGCTACCAGATAGTGAACTGCCAGCACTATGTACATCTACCACTTCAGTTCTGTCATGGGGCGTGTCTGCCCCTGTACTTAAGATATGTGACCCACTGGATGCTGTACTGTTGTGGGTATCAGTGGAATTGTTCAAAGTCATTTTGGCAGAAATTTTAGGTGTGACACTTGTACTACGACTACCTGATGAAATACGACCACTGGTGGACCTGAAACATAGAAAAAATAAATGTAGAAAACATAAATTCAAAGTGAAAAAGACAAATAATTCCATATGAATAACACTATTTTTACTTATTTTACTACATGTATAAATACATATGACCTCTATAACAGGTGAATATTTAGTTATTTCTTCATATATAGTATATTTATTGAAATACCAAGCAATCTCCTAACATGCTGGCGGCATGATATACACATCAAACAATAACTAAGTTCAAATGGTTACAATACACAGTAAGATATGTAACACAGCACTTCGACACGTAATTATGACAATTGCAATAAAAGTTTTTTGAGTTGATACTGCCATGAGACCATCTTTAATTTGATCAAGGATAGCTTAATGATCACTCCTATCAAATTAGAATAAAGAAGACTTTAAAGTTCCAAGGGAGAAGAAATTTTAGAATTGACCGACAAGATTCAACAACTGCCAATTGCTGACAGCTTTTTATCCTGTGTATGGGATACTAAATCTATTTATCCTGAGTAAGGGATACTGAATCTTTTTATCCTGTGTATTGGATACTAAATCTTTTTATCCTGTGTATGGGATACTGAATCTTTTTATCCCGTGTATGGGATACTGAATCTTTTTATCCTGTGTATGGGATACTGAATCTTTTTATCCTGTGTATGGGATACTGAATCTTTTTATCCTGTTTATGGGATACTGAATCTTTTTTAATGGCATTGAATGCATAATTCCGCAACATTATTCCTGTCAAGGTTGGTTCAATATGAAGTTGTGGTTTCAATGGAGAAAATAATAAAGATGGATGCCAAGTGATGGCAATAACTCCTACTGGCCTCATCAACAAGATAAGTTACTCTACTACTCATGACTGAACACACAGATCTCATATAAAATCCTGGTAACTTGGAATATCAAAAAAAAAAAAATTTTCTCTCAAGAAATTAAAGCAAGACATCCATAACAAAAGCTTTAAGGATATCATTACAGAAAGCATGATGCTATCATGTTCTAGCATTATAGCAACACATTACCATGATGTTAAAAGGTCCTTAAGAGAACATTGAAAAGGAAAAGTAATTGTTCTTCCCACCTTCTAACATCCTGGTCACATGAGAAACATATTGAACATTATTACAGTTCACACCACAGAGACAATTGTTTTTTAACATGTGATATCACACTCAGAAAGTAATACACTGCAAGCAAGAAACACTATGATGGGCAATTTCATACTGTGTTAATTTCATTTTGCAATTAATTAAGAGTCTCTTTTCAAGATATTCAATCAAATCTTTCTTTTTGGCTGATAGACTTTTTGATCAAGATCATGTTTTCTTACGCTGTGTATGTCACTACAGTATGCAAACTGTTAAGCCAGTTTTAGAAATAGCCACTTGCACCACAAAGCTAAAACACAGTCAGAAATGTAAAACTTAACAGGGATTCTGCTAATGAGCATGTTAAATAACATGTGCATTCTATTACTTGCAGTTCTTTAATTATTAAAATGCCATGCGCAACATAAAAGGCTTCTCTAAATTTAATGCCTGCAATCAAAACAAATTTTCTGTTATTTTGGACATAAACAATAATGAAAACTTTCACAATCTATGCATAACAGTATGTCCCCAAGAAAAAGAAAAGCAGGACTGAATCAGATAATAAAGAGCTGCGCCATGAGCACATGATTCACCAGTCGCCCTTTTAGTTTTATGATTTAAATGAATTTATAAAGATTAACTAGAAATACTGCCAGCAATGCTCTAATAGACCCCCCCCCCCCTTTCCCAGAAAAAACCCAACATGCACACAGAGTGATACCCATTGACACAAAACATGAATATTTGGCACTATGAGGGCTACCTCATGTTTAAGTAAGTTTGTGGCCTCAATTTTTGATCGTACAAATTTCTACAACCATCCAAATTGTGGAAAAGGGACAGTTTTCAGCAATTTTTTAACGAATAAAGTTCCCTAATTTCACAATTTATCAAAAACAAAAGGGAGTTTATTTCAATAGATATAAACAAGCCACCAAAGTTTTATGAAAACTGTTAAAGCACTTCTGTGTTATTGTCTGAAAATCTGGAAAATCACCCCTTTTTTATGAATAAAATTCCAAAACTCGGAACTAAAATCTAAAATTTATAAAAATCGAAAGTGAGCTTACGTCAATAGATTTAGACAATTCACCAAAGTTTCATGAAAATTGGTAAAAGAATTTTTGAGTTATTGTCCGAAGTGTTGATGGATGGACGGACTTACAGACAGACAAGGGTTAACCTTAATGCCCCCTCCGCTAAGGCGGGGGCACAAAAATAAGTTTTTACTGTAGAAATAAAAGATACAAACAGGGATCCAAACTATCCCACTATTTCAATTTCCAGCAACATCATTTACCAAATTAAGGAGTACATGTATAACTGAAACAAACTTCATGCACTTTAATTCAAACAAAAGAAAGCTATCAACAGAAGCACATGCAATTAAAAATCATATCATGCAAACTCAAAACAAGTTTAGAATTTAAAATTAAGTCTCATTAACTCCATAACATGCTAAAGAGAGTTATTGAAATTTGTCTTTTCCACAACAACTAGGAACTTACTTTCTTTTAATCCTAATATTTGCAAAAGTGGAAAAAAAATAGTGCATTCAGTAAAACCCATGCTCAAAAGATATCATAGTCTCTACAAATTAATGAATGTTTGTGGGAAAATGTATGATCTTTATATATCAAGTAATTACACATTAATCATCAAATGCACTTTAAATCTCCTTTTGATTTATCAAGGGAAAATAGATTTGAGACTAAAATTCTCTTTTTGATCTGAACATGATCTGAAATAAGGCTTGTTTAGATTAGAAGTTTTTCTAACAAAACCATGGTTAATTTAGTTCTTTAATAATCTTAATTACTTCCCCTTTCAGAGCATTTATAAAAACATTTATCAATCCAAAAAATGTCTGTATTGATAAAAAATTTGTTCTAGAACTTAAAAATAAAACTATTTTAATTTGTTTATTTAAATTAATAAGCCCCACATATAAATGCATTGCTTCATCAAAATTTGCAAATTGCAGTAACAGTTGGAACTTATCATTTGCAGTCATTTGTAATTCAAGATGGGGAAAGACTACCATGTTATCTTGCATAAAGGAGATCAAAAATCAAAATTACTGTATTGAGTCTGACAGAATATATAACAAAAAACCTCTAACCAAGAACTTTAAGGAATGTAAATTGCATGCATAGAAATATCTACAGAAGACATGCCTATATATATACTATCCTAATTACTATACAATGACAGAAATTATTTAAACAACAAACCTTTGAAACGATGGACTCTTGACACAAGTTTCTCTGACATATGTCATCAACTGTTTCTGTGTTCTACCACTATATCTGAAATACACAAGAATGCACACATTAGAATGTCTCACCTGCTAGAACTAAAGTCTTTGAGATAAAAGACTTACTACATGTATCAAGAACTTTACATTGATCAATAAACCATGAAAATGAGATTTACATATTACTCACAGTAAATGAGAAACTGACCTAAGCAAAAAACTTTATGTAGATCACTGAACAGTGAAAATGATGTCAAGGTCAGGTGATCCCTATGTATACACTAAACGAAATATGAAGTTATTACTGACAGTAACTGAGATTCACATGACTTTTGATAAAGGTGGTTCGGGGTTGAAAATAAATTCCCACCCCTTTTCAAAATTGGATTTAAGACCTGCTTGTTTAAAATTCAACTAAAATGTGTACATAGTAAATGCTGACTATCAAATAAGTTTCAGTGACAAAGATAAAAGAAAAAATGTATTCAAAATATGTTTTACATACAGTCTAATCTAATGAAATAATTTGCTTTCTTCCCTAACATATTCAAAAAAAAAAAGAAACTGAAAAATCAATTTAGACAAAAAACTATCATAGTCTTAAAATTCCATAAAAATAACTGTTTCCTTAATATGAATATCACTTACTGTATATGAACTAAATACAATTTTTCCATTTTCAAATTAAATTTAAGGCGATAAACATGCTTTTCCTCAGTTAAATTTTACCTAAAAGATGATCCTCTACTGACTAGCTTGGTTTTATTTCGTGGTATTTTCTTGATCATGTGACAGCGAAAAAATGCATGGTGCTCTATACACTGCTTCCAGTAGTTCTTGCTTTCATCTCGACTTTCAAAGAAAAATTCCACTGTGTCTTTATAATATCCCTATAATAAAATTCAAAACATTATTAAGTTATTAATGGACCGTCTTAGTGACAAAGTCAAAGGTTGGTGAGCACTTCAGCTTCCTCCACCAATATGAACTGGCCACCACAAAATAGGCAACAGTGCTGAGAATGGTGCTAAACATCAATCAATCAATATTGACAAAGTTCCCCCAAAAATAAATTAAAGAAAGGAACAAACACAACAGTCAAAAGGACAAGTGGTAATCATGTGATACATTCACCAAACTCTAATACAAGCTTGCATATCATATAAAATTACAAAGGGACATAACTGAAGAACGGTAAAGTGAAGCTACCCAAATTTGTACTTGATCTGAGTTTTGTGGTAATAAGTATAGTGAATAAGTGTCATAAAATTTGGTTGAGGCAAACTCAAGTTAAAGAATGGAAACGAAAAATTCAGCAATTTTTCTATTTGTAATGGGGCATAACTCTAGAACAATAAAAGTGACATCCCAATAGTTCAAACTTGATCGGTATTTTGTGGTAATAAGCATTGTGTATAAGTTTCATAAAATTTGGTTGAGGCAAACTAAAGTTAGAGAACAGAAACGGAAAATTTAGCAATTTTTCCATTTGTAAAGGGACATAACTCTAGAACGGTTAAGATGATGCCACCAAAATTCAAACTTGATCTGTGTTTTGTGGTAATAAGCATTGCGTATAAGTTTCATAACATTTGGTTGAGACAAACTAACTTTGGGACGCAAGTACAGACAGACAAGGGTAAAACATAATGCCCCCTCCACTACGGCGGGGGCATAAAAATTTGAGAAACATGAACATTAGATAATGTTGAAGATGTTACAATATAAACAGAGCCAAAATATCAAGGTTTTGAACTATGCATGAATACTTTACATACCAATTCTTGCATCAGGTGTGAGAACCTTAGTAAGTATTACACCCTTTTTAGATAAGTGCAATGCAAAGAATATATTTAAGCCTTGTGCTACAGTAACAGATGCTTTGCTATCTTGTAGAGTTATCAAATTTTGATGGAAATATTACATATAAAATAATTATTTTGACTGGAAATTTTTCAAATGTTTTCAATTTGCTAGAATGCTTTATAACTATTTAATCTAGAGGCTCCAAGGAGCATGAATGGTTTTACTGACTTCAATGCTAATCAGTTAACAATTGAGAAAATATTTCACAATACCAAACAAATGAATGACTCAAGCAAAGCTTGAATGTTTCAAAATGGCCTGGCACATATAAAGTAAGAGTTTTAAAGTCTGTTAATGACATCTTTATGCAGCAGTAAAATGGATGAAACACAGAATATTGTGTAATTTCTGAAAGAGACCGCCTCACAGTACTTCTACATAATTTAACTCCTTTTATGCCAAATTAAAAGGAAAAGTAAGGCACATCATAATAGTATCTCCAAAGTAAACAAGAGTGCACATGCTGAAATGTCTTGCCTGTTTAACTTATCATTGAATTCATGTTGAAAGTCTATAATATGAAGGTTTTACTATAAGCATCGCATAAACTAAACATTATCAATAATCTATGATAATGAGGTCACTGTCAGATGAACCATGCCAGACAGACATGTACACCTTACAATCATTCTACACACCACATATAGTTGACCTATTGCTTATAGTATCTGATAAACTGGCAAAATCATGAAAACTTAATATTGACCAATGAACCATGAAAATAAGGTCAAATAAGGTCAAAGTCATATGAAAATTGCCAGACAGACATGTACACCTTACAATCATCCCATTCACAAAATATAGTGGCCCTATTGCTTATAGTATCTGATAAACTGACAAAATCATGAAAACTTAACATTGACCAATGAACCATGAAAATGAGGTCACGGTCATATGAAACTGCCAGATAGACATGTACACGTTACAATCATTCCATACACAAAATATAGTTGACCTACTGCTTGTTGTATCTGAAATATTGACTTGACCTACTGCTTGTTGTATCTGAAATATTGACTTGACCACGTACACTTAACCTTGATCACTGATCCATAAAATGAGGTTGAAGTTAGGTGAACCCTATCTGACAGTTATGTTGACCTTGCAAAAAACCCATATACCAAAATTAGGTATCCAATTAATGACAAAAAGTGACTTTTACACTGACAAAAAAACTATAACATTTTTCATGCATTCACTGAACCATGAAAATGAGGTCAAGGACAATGGACATGTGACAAACGGAAACTTTGTAACATAAGGTATCTGCATACAAGTTATGAAGCATCCAGTTCTTCTAACTTACGAAATATAAAGATTTATACAAATAGTTTACGCTGTCGCTGCCTGATTGTAATCCCTATGTCTCGCATTCTGCAACTTTCATCACAGGAGAGACAAAAATCTGGACAAACATTATGATTTTCTCTGGAATAGCATCTTTGAATATAGTGTTTCACGTAACTTGGGATCCTGAATGCTTACATTTGTATATTTCTATTAAAGTTGCCAAAAATGATAACAGCCGTACCGTAAGCTACTCCAATGTTTGTTATGTCTCATCAGCATTACAATAAAAATACAGTTCAAGATAAAAAATAGTGCTAACTAAATCAAATTTGGATCCCAATTATTTTAGTTTTACAGAGTACAAGACTTCTGGAATAAATAATGTCTAAAATAGTCAAACTTAAGATCTGGATAACCTCCCTTTTTATAGAGAAAAAAGCCACAACAAAACAGACACATACTGAAGCTAAAATGCAAAAGCACAGGATTTGTAAACTACTTTCAAGTAATTTGACAAATTCAAGGGAGATAACTAATATATCAATTTTCTGAAACTAAAATCGAGGACACAAAAACATAAGACAAAGCCAACACAATGCTTTAGGTGAGCTCATTAATGATTCTGAACATGCACTATCAATACTACATAAAGTCAATCACTGCACTGGACAACAAAAAATCATAACAACAATCATGCATGTCCAACATTCTTGAAAATTTGTGACAAGTTATTTACAAAATAGAAATATTATTTTTGTCTTTAATTATAAGTAATTTAATTTATATTGTTGATGTTAAGTTTACTATAATTCACCAAAGCATGTTCTAAATTCCAGTTGAATTATTTGATTATGGTCCATCATTAAATAAAATATATACTTCTATGTATGGGAATACAATATGAATTATATAAATTTCTATAAAATAAATAAAATATTTCAGAATACAACATCTATGAATTCTTCAAGTTATGTGATATTTGCTTGGCTGAATTGCTATCTCTAAACCATGTCCCTTTGTTATACATTATGAGAGAGGGTTTGACAAAAACAAAAGCCAAGCTTATCTTTACTTTTCTCACCTTAGCTTTTCCTGGCTGAAAACAAAAAGTAGATATCTGAAATAAAATCTATTCTATCTTTTTTCAATCAATGTCACCTCAAGAAGAAAAAAAAAAAAATTCCCCTTTACTATGATGCAAGAAGGAATTTGGCTATGAATGCAATTAATTGAACTTCATTGAAATATATCTAAATAAACTTAACCCCTATTCAAAATAATCTTTATCTAGCCATTCTTCCCAAAATTTTTAAGAATAAAATCCGTTAAATAACTAACACACAAAAAAAAATGTTGACAGACCTGTGGATTTATTTTATTACCATGGACATGTATTATGAAAACCAAGCAGTGACATTGACCAAAACTGTGAAATTTATTATAAATGTGCACATGTGAAAACCATCAACACTGAATAAATACATTATAAAAAATCACATGAAAACTGCATATCAATGTGATACAAAGCAATAAACAGTATACCAAAGGTGTCAACTCTTAATGTGAAACAAACCAACAAACAGTACACCAAGGTGTCAACTTTCCAAGTTTCAGAGGGAGCCTTCCAATATATTTTGAACATTTGAAATCTCCTTCTGCAGACCAGTCTCCGGTCAGGAGATCAAAATACCTTCTTTGGAGAGAAAAGTCTTCCAATATCCCTCTTATTTGACTCTATTAAAATAGTTGTGTGAACCATAAAAAGTCAAATCAAGTTAAAACATTGTTGTTTACATAATATAGAGCAATCTAATATATTGTTTTGTGGGATTCATTTTATGAATAACTGGATCCATTTAAATGTTGTATCATAAGAATTTCTTGAACTTCAAAATTTCAAAAAACATCATTGAAAACATTGTGGGTTCTAAACCAAATGTCTCAATAATAATTTCCTTTGAAGGAGATGTCCTACTTTGAAAGTTTGAAAAGTTGACACCTATGACAAAACTTTTCAAAAGTGCATTCATTAAAATCCATCATAATCCAATTAAAGAGAACTTTGGATAAATCAGTCGTATCTAACTCTTCAATGACTTACATAGGTATCTGGATGTAGCTTAATAAGGAATTTCTTCCTTTTAAAGCTTAGTTTTCTTATCTTTGCCCAGGAAAATGTGTTGATTTTAGTATTATTCTGGAACACTAAAATGCCCATGTGCGCTACAGCAAGGTAAAGAGCTACACCTTCATGATCCTGAAAAATAACATGATTGTTTTTAATACCAGCTACCTAGACCTGACAGTCAAAAAGAAATGTAACATAAACCATAATGAAACCGTTCATGCATGTGATTTGTAAAACCATTTAAGTGCAAGTAAATTTCTCTATGCAAAATGTATGTATATGTCCTCCTGATGGTTTCCCTCTCCTTTGAATTATCATTTTGAAAACCTTTTTGTTTTTAGATTTTGCATGAACGTTTAGCTTTTTGGTGAAGCTGTAGTTTTGATGCTTTTTTTTTCTTGTTTTCAATTTTATTCTTGTTACATTTACTCTGACTTTTTACAGCATTCATTTCTGTACATTACTACTAATAAAAATAACACTTTATAACTTTGGTGGGTCTGAAGTCAGGAATGCTGAATCCAAAAACTTTAACATCAAGGATGTATTATTACTTGAATACATAGAGAGCTGAAGGAGGAAAACTTATTACTTCTTATAAGCTATTGGAAGATGAGTTTGTTACTAACCTTGGCAGCATTCAGTCTGATACCATATGTTTCTACCTTCCTGGCAACATCTACTAGGCTAGCTTCTGCTTCTGCAGGTGTTTCCCCACTAAAATATGTTAATGTTAATCATAGTTATTTACATATCTTAACTTTTGGCTCTGCCTCTGCAGGTGTTTCCCCACTAAAATATGTTAATGTTACAGCCGATTTCATTGAGTGTGTAGGCAAAGGTAATATCTTTGGTTAGCTTGCTTGTTAGCTGAACCGTGAAGTCATTATTAGGTGAGGTATACTACCCTCCTTTCGAAGTAGCCTTGTCCAACAGACAGATAGATTGGTTGTCTGTCGGACTTGTCTACTCTTAAAGGAGGGTAGTTTACCTAACCTAATAATGACTTCACGGTTCAGCTAGCAAGCAAGCTAACCAAAGATATTACCTTTACCTACACACTCAATGAAATCGGCTGTAATCATAGTTATTTACATATCTTAACTTTTGGCTCTGCCTCTACAGGTGTTTCCCCACTAAAATATGTTAATGTTAATCATAGTTATTTACATATCTTAACTTTGGGCTCTGCCTCTGCAGGTGTTTCCCCACTAAAATATGTTAATGTTAATCATAGTTATTTACATATCTCAACTTTGGGCTCTGCCTCTGCAGGTGTTTCCCCACTAAAATATGTTAATGTTAATCATAGTTATTTACATATCTTAACTTTTGGCTCTGCCTCTGCAGGTGTTTCCCCACTAAAATATGTTAATATTAATCATAGTTATTTACATATCTCAACTTTGGGCTCTGCCTCTGCAGGTGTTTCCCCACTAAAATATGTTAATGTTAATCATAGTTATTTACATATCTTAACTTTTGGCTCTGCCTCTACAGGTGTTTCCCCACTAAAATATGTTAATGTTAATCATAGTTATTTACATATCTTAACTTTGGGCTCTGCCTCTGCAGGTGTTTCCCCACTAAAATATGTTAATGTTAATCATAGTTATTTACATATCTTAACTTTTGGCTCTGCCTCTGCAGGTGTTTCCCCACTAAAATATGTTAATGTTAATCATAGTTATTTACATATCTTAACTTTGGGCTCTGCCTCTGCAGGTGTTTCCCCACTAAAATATGTTAATGTTAATCATAGTTATTTACATATCTTAACTTTTGGCTCTGCCTCAGAGTTGAATTTGGTAAAAGGATGATACCAAGTTGATATGGAATGGAAAACAAAATGTAACTAACTAGAGGATAGTGATCAGAGCCATTACAGAGGGACAGCTTAAGTAAAAAATATAACTATGATGCAAATTAGAACTAATCTTAGAATTTATCAGTCTTATTCTATTCAAACATAGGTTAGAAACACAGAAGGCACACCCTAAAGCACCACTAATGCATACCAAAGCCCCAAGGGGTTTAACAGTTAGAGAGCTTAAGTCATTTTTGTACATAATCACAGGGGTGACTAAGTTGAACTAAGTTTTAGACAATGAATTTTACTGTACTGTTTTCTTCCTTGCACACTTCAAACCTTGTAGTAGTGAGGAATAATCATGCCAAGTTTCATTTCAATGGGTTTGAATGTTAGAGAGCTGAAAATTTTTTGTACAAATGCACAGGGGTGACTAAGTTTTAGACCATGGCTTTTATTTGCATGGTTTCATCCTTATATGCGACAAGAAGTGTGAAAAAATCTTGTCAAGCTTCATTACCTAACTTCAAGGGGTTTGGTAGTTAGAGAGCATAAATGATTTGGGGCAGACAGACGCACTACAAACTAATTACAGTAGGTCTTTCACCAATAACATGTAATTATATGTAAATAAGTGAAATTTTTTTCTTAGAATCAGATTTATAAATGAATCTCCAGTCCGCATTTAGACCAACATTCTATATAAAACATCTGTTTGTATGTGTGTTACTTTTTTTGGAGGAGTTTGGTGTTGGTGGTTGATGTGGTTTGATGTACTTTCCTGCATATTTATTGATTCTCGTTATCTATTTTATGTATTATTTGCAGTTCACATCTCTATTCAAACTTACATGTGTTGTTTATGATATTCCATAACTTTCTTCAGTAGACCTTCAGACTGCCTTGGAATAAATTGTGGCATGCTCATCAAATAGGTATGGTCCATGTATTCTTCTATGATATAATCTCCCAACTCAGCTAAAATTAATAAGACATCGTAAATAATTATCCTTATTACTTAAAACTCTTTCACAATTACTTGGATTTCACATCATATTGCATGTGCTTTACTAATAAAACATTTGATTTGATCTGATGCTTTACAATTTGCATAGAATTAATAAACCAATTTTGGGTTCCTTTTTATGATTGAGTTACACTGGTTGAAACCAAATTCTTTAAGTTCTGAAAGAGAGAAATACCATTCAACAACATCAACCTCCAAACCTAATATAAATTGTTCTCTTTAAACATGCAAATAAAACTTAAATTGAAAATTTCATTTACAGTGGGTATAGTAAAAATTTGAAATACTGGCAAGCAGGAGGTGGCTGAGAAGCCAAACTGAAATCCCATAAAAACTTTTAAAATTTTGAAACTTGGAAATCAAACAACTTATCAATTTAAAGGCCATCCCCAAATATTAAATCTTTCCTCGAAGCAGTATTTAAGAAAATTATTGTAAAGGTTTTCAATTCAATCTAGATATGATAGATGTACAGGAAATGTCACACTATTATGTGGATACAGCATAAAACTAATCTTTGAATCAAACTGAATCAGACTTTCTATCTGACAGCTTTTTATGCTTTGATATTTGTGTTTCTATGATTAATTCAAATTCTATTAACCATTTGTGAACTCTGAATATAGAGAAAAGTAGCTTATCACAGAAAAAAATGTGCAAAATGTGTTGTATTTAGGCCCTGGTAGAACGGCCTGTTTAATGTATGTTCAATGTGAAGAGCTTTGTACATAGAATGTGTTGTCCATCATAAAAATTTCACTAAATCTGTAAAAAAAACACTTGACAATGATCTGTGCACCTTATCCATTTCATATACTGCCTTTATTTTCATCTGTAGGATAGTATGTGGTTCAAATATATGCCAGTTGAGACTAAAACTACATGCAAGTTTTCCATTGAAAAGTGAAAAAACTGTGCGTCAGACCATACTGTCTGCAAAAAAAGTTGAATGCAAGAGTCCTTTTGCAATTAGACTTCTTGTATCATGACATCTTAGCATAGAAATGAGCAAAAAGTAACAAATTTCCATTTCTTATAGCTTCTGTATGCATTTTTATATGTAAATATGTGCTACGGCCTAAATTGACACTAAATAATGTTCAGTCTTACATAGCCTAAGATCATTTTATACTCATTTGGTATGCTTTTTGTAACTTTTCTTTCCATTTAAAGTACATTTAATATATATGAAAGAATAATTTATGGTAAAAAACTTCAAAAACTTCAAATTGGTTGAAAAAAAATGCATGTTTATGTAAGGCTCCCCTTAATTCGAAAATCTCTATTTTCAGGCACAGGCTCATATAAATTTGACTTTTGAATAATTGTAACAAATCTGATAAACCAAATGAGTGGTCAGTTGCTTTAAATACTTAATATATTATATTTAAGAGCATTTCAAAAGCAAATTTTTGCAATATTTAAATTTTTTAAGCCCAAATCTTGATAGTTGAAATTATTTGATTTAAACGTCAAAATTAAACATTCAAATTTCAATATTAAAATTGCCATAGTTTCTATAATATATATCCTATGGCCATGAAACTTGGCAAACTATCTTATAATTGCCTAAGCTTAGGTCATGCAAAGTTTAATTAGAATTGGTCAAGTCTTTCTATACTATTAGGTCCGAGGACACAGTTATCGTCCTTCGATTTTCGTTGTCTACAAATATAGTCCCTAGTGTGGACAGTGTATAACTTGCAAATTTTTTTCATACACTTTCCAAATTTATTTCTTTATATTTAATGCATGAAATATTAAGTAAGGGGATGAAATTACATGTTAAAAAAATTTGGGTGCTGAATCTTTATGTTAAGTAGTGATTAGGTCCAGTTTAAAAAGGTCAAAAATTAGTATGTCTGAAGCTGTCAAACTGAATTTTAGACCCCCTTTACATAGAATTGTCAATATTTTGAGTTAGAGCTGGTAGACTTTTCTACAATTTTGATATTATTTGTCCCAATAGTAGTACACTACACTGTAAAAATCTTTTTGAGATAGAGCAGGTGCGATTTTTTTAATTTGACTTTATTGTCTAAAAGAAATGCACTACGAAATAACTGTGTTCTCGGGCCAAAAGGATGGCAAACAATACTACTGAGATAAATAGCTTTCTGTCTAATGGTGTCAAGATAGTTTTTTTTTATTTTAAGTAGAAGTTAAGACATGTTTTGTTAATTATATGACTAATAATTATCCCATAAAAAACTTGGAAATTAAGTTGGTCCAAGGTTATATTCTTTATTCTACTGCAAATATATTGGCAGTAATACAAACATCTTATTTTTATCAAGAAGAAAATGGTTAGATCTTTCGGTCTGATTTAATTATGCAATTACAATTTGAAACAGTGCTAAAACTTAATTGAGAATTATAACATTAACATAAATGTTATATTATAACATTAACATAAATGTTTTAAATGATCCATATATCCATCTCTAAGGTAGCAGGCCCCAATATGTATGGAAATCAACAGGAGGCAGAAGTAAAAGGCCTTTAATCTAAATATTTCCTGATAACAGCTTTGTGTACTGTAATGCAAATTATATCAAATTGAACTTTTTCTTTGTATTTTCTCTAAACTTATGCATATTTATTGTGTCAAGTTGAGATATATTGTACATTTCATACTTTTTGTAATATCTACTGTAAATTCAGAAATTATTGCATGCATTTATTATTGCGATTTTTAAAGAATGAACAAAGATGTGAGATTAATTATTGCGATTTCAGATAAACCTGCATACAGATATATGTATTAGATATAATAATGCAAGTTCTTATTATTGTGATTCCCACCCAGTCGCATTATTCCCATTAATAAAAACCTCCCAATAATTTCTGAATTAACAGTAACATGTAATTGTTTTCTATTCTTTTTAGTCTTAACTCTTTCACTAAAATCCTTTGTAAAATGGAATGCAAAATATATATATAACAAGAATGTATCCATAGTACACAGATGCCCCATTCGCGCTTTCATTTTCTATGTTGAGTGAACCATGAAATTGGGTCAAAACACTTACTTGGTATTAAATTAGAAGGGAACATGTGTACTAAGTTTCAAGTTGATTGGACTTCAACTTCATCAATATGGACGAACGGACGCACAGACCGAAAAACATAATGCCCCTCTACTATCGTAGGTGGGGCAAAAAAATATATATAAATATATTCTACATATATTGTTTTGATTTCCAATTGAAAAAATATGATCTGTAAACAAGAATTGTTTTCATGGTCTTATTTGGGAATGATTATTGGCCATACAGATATATCATATTAATTAGCCTCATGGATCTAATATACTGTCCTTTTGATCTAAATGATTTTAAATCATTTATTTATTAAGACTTGCTACTCAGTTCAGCTGTTCAGCATATTTGCCAATCCAATGACAGGCCTAACATGCTTACTGCTTGTATTTGTTATTTAGCTTTTGTTTTCATCTTTTAGTCAAAGATGTTTGTCTATAATTTCAAATCATATAAATTAAAGGAATATGTATGTATTCCGACAGGAAACCAACAATAAGAAGTATGAGCATGAACATCTCTTTCTTGTATGGTGTGAGGACACTGTCATTACTGAAAACTATCCTTTTTAATTTTACAGATGATTTTTTTTTATCATTTTTGAAAAGCCGACTGTGAAGTTACATTTTACTCACCTTGAACAATATAGGATGCTAGAAGTGCTGCAGTATTCTCACTACAAACCATTTGTCCAACAGATAAATCTTTTTTTACCTGTAATGCAAATAAGTACCTGAAAAATAGAAAAAAAGATGCAGAAAAAATGTGCAACAAATAATATTCTTTAGGTAAGTTGCTTTCTTAGTATATATATAGTTTTTTTCAAAGAGGTATCAGACATATCTATAGTTATATTATACAGTAACACTACATTTAGGTGGAGTGCACTTATTGTGTACAGCTTTTCTATAACAGAAGCTTTAGTCTGTTTGTAATTCATTCTACTTGTAAATATATACTTATGGTATTGTATATCCATGCTGCCTATTATACAAGGTACTGATTTTTGTTTCATTCTCTAATGTTCTATGTAGTAGTTTTGTATTCGTTATCTTTGTTTGGCCATGGTGTTAGCTTCTTATCTTTTGACTTGATATCTTCTCCCTTTTTTTATGTACATTTTGTTATTCCACTGATCAATATTAAAAAGGGAAGGGCTAGACAAAAAAATACAAGTTTAACCCCTCCAAATCTTCTATTGCCTGTCCAAAGTCAAGAACCTTGTCAGTGGTTGTTTTTAGGTATATATTCCTATATTTTTGTCATTTAGATAATTTGTTGTGGAAGGAATATTGCTAATGGTCTATCAAATTTTAACAACTTTGCTGGACTTGGGACAGTGAACAGCTTGTAAATATTGTATAGACTAATTGTTGAACACCATATGTTAACCTCAATGTGTCTTTTTTCTGTGTTGTTGGGTTGCAGTCTCATTGACAGATTCCTCACATCTCCATTTGTTCATACCACAAAAAACTTTTCTAAGGACAAGACTATTGACAAGCAATTTCCACAAAAAGTCTAGTATCCACTGGTCATTTTCCCACCTTTTTATAGAATTTTTTTAAAAGTTTTGCATAGTTTCGACAAACTAAATGGAGGAGACCTTTAAATCTGCACAGGATCTAGGTAATTGGTACTCAAATTCGTTTTTCTTAGCCCTATAGTTTATGTAACAGACCATGTATAACCATTATGGTCTTGCAAATATTTTTTGCCTTTTCTGTATTCCTATTCTTGACTAAATCAAGGCATGTAATTTATATTTCCAACCATAATTTTATGACTTTATTTTAAACTATATTGTGCTAAAAGTGCCATTCTGAAACCAATTGCTCACATTACAATCAAGTCCTATAAACATCTAGACTTCTCCAAATATGTTTAAATCCCAATGAATTGATAATAAAGCAGTAAATAAGACTACCAATCAATGAAAGACAAATCAGGGTCTGAAGGTTTAAGAATCTAATGAACAAATAGTCTAAGTTAGCAGAAAATAACAAGTGTGAATATCAATGAAATAATCACTTTTTAAGAACAGTACTGCAAGAAAAACAAGATTTGTATTTTCTAAATTAAATGATAAACTTTACATGTGGTACTTGAAAACAAAAATAAAACATTGTATATGAAGCAGAACATCCATAAAATCCTCCTATGGAAGCCCCTTTAAAAGGAAAATAAATGCAAATTGGTTGCCATTGATTAGAATGGTTTGCTACAGAACTGTGTATTCAATTTGTTTCACATTAACAATTTGCATTTACATACAAGGTCGATTAGAACCTTGTGTGGTAAGATGCCTGCTACAATTTCTCACATTTGTTTCTCCAGTATGTATATTCATATATATTCCAGTAGCTCAGGTCATAACACTTTTGGGATTACTGATGTTTGCAAATGTTGTATTCAATTATATTTTGTTATAAAATAAGGAGATTACACCAAGGGCATAACATAATAAATATCTATTCAGTAAATGCATGTTTACTCTAAGTACCTTTAATCAGTCTCTTTCATATATTTTTCTATTATGTACCAACTAAGTACCTATTCATGTTACAGTACAACAAACTTACTGTAGCAGTTTTTATAATCCAGACCTTATGTCTTTATCAATAAACTGCATACAATAGCTTCCTATAGATCTCCAATATATAACAAATAAATAAATTCAGTGTGTTTTTTTAATAAACAAGAGTGCACACCCTGAAATGTCATTCAATCTTAACATTTATCAATGATCCATGTAAATAAGGTCAAGGTCAGATAGACCCTGCCACAGGGACATGTACACCTTATAATCATTCAATACACCAGACATATTAACATTTGCTTATCATATCCTAGAAATAGATCTAGACATAACCACAAAAACTTCATTGACCAATGAACCATGAAAATTAGGTTAAGATTAGATGAACCCTACCAAACAAACCTGTACACCATGCAATAATTCCATACAACAAATATAGTTAAAATTTTGCTTATTGTATCTGAGAAACAGACCTATCCTCAAAAACTAAACATTGCCCATTGAACCATGAAAATGAGGTCAAGGTCAGATGAACCCTGTCAATCAGTTTATACACCAAATATACATGTAGTTGACCTACTGCTTATATATAATTATACAGTATCTGAGAAATGGATCTAACCAGGAAAGCTTAACCTTAATCATTGATCCATGAAATGATGACAAGGTCAGGTAAACCCTTTCTAAATGACATGAAGACCTTGCAAGCATAATAGTTTTTTAATCAGTCACCTGTGATTTTAAATGGAGATCAGGAAGACAACAATTTAACAAAACGAAGTTATTCAAAATAGACATTTTTCTCCCCATTTTTTTGCTAATGCAGTTTTTCTTCAAACAAGTTCTGATGTACCGGTAGATTGTCACTAGAAAAGCTGTTTTAGGGAATTTATGCCTTTATAAGAAACATTTACAAGCTTGTCAAGAGTTTATCCATATTCATTGTATTTTAAACTTAATCCAGACAACTTGTGACAAGAACATCATGAAACTGTCATAACCTTTTAATCTGTAGAGGTCATCTGCTAAACATGCACTTTTACAACAAGCAAGAGGATAACCTGATTTTTGAGGGAAAATATTAAGTAGAGGTTGTAATAAATTATACCACAGCTGCTGCTAAATAAATAGAATAAAAAGAACATTATGTACGGTTAGAGCACATATTTATTTCACAAATGTAGAAGCAAGTACACTTTGACATCTTTATATCACTTTATTTATCAGGTAAGGACATTTTTTGAATTGTTAAAAACATGAGCATGTGACATTTCCATTGCCTCTTATAAACTCTACTTCATGAAAGCTCTTCTTAAGCCAATTCTTTAAAAATCTACAGTTTCCAAATTTTCTTAAAATTAAAACAAAAGAAAAATTTGAGCTTCTTCATAGAAAAAGGAAGAATTCTGCAACAGTTCACATTTCATGGTGTAACTGAAACAAAAAAAATTAAAGTTGAAAATTCTTTGTTGAAAATTTAAAAATAGATGTGTGTAAATTTATAATTTCGATTGCTGATCAAGGAGATTGATTGCTGCAAATTATGGAAATGGTGTATACAACTATTGCAATGAGAATTTATTTATTGATGTCTGATTTATCAGCATTAGCTACGATTTTGACAAAAAATCAAAACATGATTTTGCTTTTAGCAGCAAGTTTGTTTCAAAGTTGTAAAAATAAACTAAATAAAATGCTCCTCTGGGCGCAGCTTGATACGACCGCAGAGGTCGAACCCTGAACAGTTGGGGCAAGTATGGACACAACATTCAAGCTTGATACAGCACTGAATTTGGATTGTGATTAAATATTTGACACAGCATAGGTTTCTGACACAGAATGAATGTGGTCTAAGAACTTAAAAATTTTTAATTTACCTATTCAAACCATATCATAATTATTTGCTTTTATATATAAATCAGAAATAACCAATTTAAAATGGAAAATTTTAAAGAAAAAAAAGGAAAAAAAAAATCCCCCAAAAAATTTTTGAACCCCCTTATGATTCATCACCCCCAAACTCAATCCCAGCCTTCCCTTTGTGGTATGGTACCTTGCAGTACAATTTCAGAGAGATCCAAACACTTGAACACAAGTAATTGTCTGGAAACTAGAAAAATGCTTGTTTTTTGGCCCCTTTTTGGCCCCAAATTCCTAAACGTTTAGGGCAATTACCCCCAAACTCAAACCCAGCTTTCCCTTTGTGATATGGAACCTTGTAGTACAATTTCATAAAGATCCATACACTTACACACAAGTTATTGTCCTGAAACTAGAAAAATGCTTGTTTTTTTTTCCCCTTTTTGGCCCCTAATTCCTTAAATTTGGAGGCAATTACCCCCAAAATCAATCCCAGCATTCCCTTTGTGGTATGGTATCTTACACTACAATTTCAGAGAGATCCATACACTTGAACACAAGTTATTGTCTGGAAACTAGAAAAATGCTTATTTTTGGCCCCTAATTCCTAAAGGTTTTGGGCAATTACCCCCAAACTCAATTCCAGCTTTCCCTTTGTGATATGGAACTTTGTAGTACAATTTCATAAAGATCCATACACTTACACACAAGTTATTGTCCTGAAACTAGAAAAATGCTTGTTTTTTTGCCCCTTTTTTGCCCCTTTTTTGCCCCTAATTCCTAAAATTTGGAGGCAATTACCCCCAAAATCAATCCCAGCCTTCCCTTTGTGGTATGGTACCTTACAGTACAATTTCAGAGAGATCCATACACTTGAACACAAGTTATTGTCTGGAAACTAGAACTAGAGGCTCTCTAGAGCCTGTGTCGCTCACCTGACTCTACTTTGGTTTTAGAAATCATGTAAAGATAGATAAAAATCATAACAGATACCCAAATAATGATTGAGGCCAAATTTTGATTAATATTGGTCCCTTTATTTAATAAAATATCCTGGTGGCCATCTTGAACAGTAAATCGGCAACAAAGTAGAGACACCTCTTCATAAGGAACATTCATGCCATGTTTGGTTTCATTCCATTCAGTGGTACTCTAAAAGAAGACATTTGTATGTATTTCCCATAGGGTCCTATGTTAAAAAAAGCCCCCCGCAGGCGGCCGTCTTGGATGATGGATCGGCTACAAAGTAACAACACTTGGTCAGCATCTCATAAGGAAGATTCATGCCATGTTTGGTTTCATTCCATTCAGTGGTTCTCTAAAAGAAGACATTTGTATGTATTTCCCATAGGTCCTTTGTTAAACTAAGTCCCCTGCTGGCGGCCATCTTGGATGATGGACCGACTGCAAAGTAACAACACTTGGTCAGCACCTCATAAGGAACATTCATGCCATGTTTGGTTTCATTCCATTCAGTGGTTCTCTAAAAGAAGACATTTGTATGTATTTCCCATAGGGTCCTATGTTAAACTAAGTCCCCCGCTGGCGGCCATCTTGGATGATGGATCGGCTACAAAGTAACAACACTTGGTCAGCACCTCATAAGGAACATTCATGCCATGTTTGGTTTCATTCCATTCAGTGGTTCTCTAAAAGAAGTCATTTGTATGCATTTCCCATAGGGTCCTATGTTAAACTAAGTCCCCCGCTGGAGGCCATCTTGGATGATGGATCGGCTACAAAGTAACAACACTTGGTGAGCACCTCGTAAGGAACATTCATGCCATGTTTGGTTTCATTCCATTCAGTGGTTTTCTAAAAGAAGACATTTGTATGTATTTCCCATAGGGTCCTATGTTAAATTAAGTCCCCCGCTGGCGGCCATTTTGGATGATGAACCGACTGCAAAGTAACAACACTTGGTCAGCATCTCATAAGGAACATTCATGCCATGTTTGGTTCCATTCCATTCAGTGGTTCTCTAAAAGAAGACATTTTTATGTATTTCCCATAGGGTCCTATGTTAAACTAAGTCCCCCGCTGGCGGCCATCTTGGATGATGGATCGGCTACAAAGTAACAACACTTGGTCAGCACCTCATAAGGAACATTCATGCCATGGTTGGTTTCATTCCATTCAGTGGTTCTCTAAAAGAAGTCATTTGTATGCATTTCCCATAGGGTCCTATGTTAAACTAAGTCCCCCGCTGGCGGCCATCTTGGATGATGGATCGGCTACAAAGTAACAACACTTGGTCAGCACCTCATAAGGAACATTCATGCCATGTTTGGTTTCATTCCATTCAGTGGTTCTCTAAAAGAAGTCATTTGTATGCATTTCCCATAGGGTCCTATGTTAAACTAAGTCCCCCGCTGGAGGCCATCTTGGATGATGGATCGGCTACAAAGTAACAACACTTGGTGAGCACCTCGTAAGGAACATTCATGCCATGTTTGGTTTCATTCCATTCAGTGGTTTTCTAAAAGAAGACATTTGTATGTATTTCCCATAGGGTCCTATGTTAAATTAAGTCCCCCGCTGGCGGCCATTTTGGATGATGAACCGACTGCAAAGTAACAACACTTGGTCAGCATCTCATAAGGAACATTCATGCCATGTTTGGTTCCATTCCATTCAGTGGTTCTCTAAAAGAAGACATTTTTATGTATTTCCCATAGGGTCCTATGTTAAACTAAGTCCCCCGCTGGCGGCCATCTTGGATGATGGATCGGCTACAAAGTAACAACACTTGGTCAGCACCTCATAAGGAACATTCATGCCATGTTTGGTTTCATTCCATTCAGTGGTTCTCTAAAAGAAGTCATTTGTATGCATTTCCCATAGGGTCCTATGTTAAACTAAGTCCCCCGCTGGCGGCCATCTTGGATGATGGATCGGCTACAAAGTAACAACACTTGGTCAGCACCTCATAAGGAACATTCATGCCATGTTTGGTTTCATTCCATTCAGTGGTTCTCTAGAAGAAGTTCAAAATGTAAAAAGTTAACGCCGACGACGGACGACGCCGGACGACGGACGACGGACGCCAATTGATGAGAAAAGCTCACTTGGCCTTCGGGCCAGGTGAGCTAAAAATGCTTATTTTTGGCCCCTTTTTGCCCCCTAATTCCTAAAGGTTTTGGGAAATTACCCCCAAACTCAATTCCAGCTTTCCCTTTGTGATACGGAACTTTGTAGTACAATTTCATAAAGATCCATACACTTACACACAAGTTATTGTCCTGAAACTAGAAAAATGCTTGTTTTTTTCCCCTTTATGGCCCCTAATTCCTAAACATTTTAGGCAATTACCCCCAAACTCAATTCCAGCTTTCCCTTTGTGATATAGAACTTTGTAGTACAATTTCAGAAAGATCCATACACTTACACACAAGTTATTGTCATGAAACTAGAAAAATGCTTGTTTTTTGCCCCTTTTTTGGCCCCTAATTCCTAAAATTTGGAGGCAATTACCCCCAAAATCAATCCCAGCATTCCCTTAGTGATATGAGACCTTGTGGTACAATGTCAGAGAAATCCATGCACTTACACACAAGTTATGTTTGGAAGTTACAAATATGCTTATTTTTGGCCCCTAATTCCTTAACTGTTGTTAACCTAACCCCCAAAATCAATCCCAACCTTCCTTTTGTGGTATTGAACCTTATGGTAAAATTTCATAGAGATCCATTCACTTAAACTAAAGTTAGAGTGCGAAAACCAATGTGTCTTCGGACGAAGACGACGACAACGACGACGACGCCAACGTCATACCAATATACGACCACAAAAATTTGTTTGCGGTCGTATAAAAACATCTTTGATATATATTATTGTCTTGCTAAACAATAATTTGACCTCAATTTGGTCATGTGTGCATGCAACCTTTAATTCTAATTTTAACCTTAAGTTGAAAATGTGTTATGCATGTGCTCAGCATGTCCAGTTATTAAAAAGTTGTTAACTGAATTGGCCAGCATTAAATCCTTTGTTATACATGTAAAACGAAGATTTCATTTTTTTCATGTATGACATGAAATTAAACAGAGAGAAAAAAATTGACATACTATTGCATTATGTCATGTGCTTGTATGTATTTATTTTTATGTTTTTATATATAAATAAAATTTAGTTTGATTCAAAATTAAAGCATTTCAAAAGTTTTTCTGGGCTTTTATATAATTTCTTTAATGTTTGGCAGTGACTTGAAATTAAGAGGGATAGAAAGTCTGAGCTTGTTAACTTATAAATCCCACTGCATTTTATTTATCCTGTCCAAAGCCAATGATAAAACTCTACACCAGAGACTAAATTATGTACGTAGGCTGATTTTTATACGACCCCAAAAAATTTTTTGTGGTCATATATTGGTATGACGTTGGCGTCGTCCGGCGTCGTAGTCGTCGTCGTCCAAAGACACATTAGTTTTCGCACTCTAACTTTAGTTTAAGTGAATGGATCTCAATGAAATTTTACCATAAGGATCAATACCACAAAAGGAAGGTGGGGATTGGTTTTGGGGGTTATGGTACCAACAGTTAAGGAATTAGGGGCCAAAAATAAGCATTTTTGTAACTTCCAGACATAACTTGTGTGTAAGTGTATGGATCTCTCTGACATTGTACCACAAGGTTCCATATCACAAAGGAAATGCTGGGATTAATTTTGGGGGTAATTGCCTCCAAATTGTAGGAATTAGGGGCAAAAAAGGGGCAAAAAACAAGCATTTTTCTAGTTTCATGACAATAACTTGTAAGTTTATGGATCTTTATGAAATTGTACTACAAGGTTCCATATCACAAAGGGTAAGCTGGAATTGAGTTTGGGGGTAATTGCCCAAATATTTTAAGAAGAAGGGGCCAAAAAGGGGCCAAAAATAAGCATTTTTCTAAGTTTCCAGACAATAACTTGTGTTCATGTGTATGGATCTCTATGAAATTGTACTGAAAGGTACCATACCACAAAGGGAAGGCTGGGATTGATTTTGGGGGTAATTCCCTAAAAATTTTAGTAATTAGGGGCCATAAAAGGGCAAAAAAACAAACATTTTTCTAGTTTCAGGACAATAACTTGTGTGTAAGTGTATGGATCTTTATGAAATTGTACTGCAAGGTTCCATATCACAAAGGGAAAGCTGGGTTTGAGTTTGGGGGTAATTGCCCTAAACGTTTAGGAATTTGGGGCCAAAAAGGGGCCAAAAAACAAGCATTTTTCTAGTTTCCAGACAATAACTTGTGTACAAGTGTATGGATCTCTCTGAAATTGTACTGCAAGGTACCATACCACAAAGGGAAGGCTGGGATTGAGTTTGGGGGTGATGAATCATAAGGGGGTTAAAAAAATTGAAGGGGGGGGTATTTTTTTTCCTTTTTTTCTTTAAAATTTTCCATTTTAAATTGGTTATTTCTGATTTATATATAAAAGCAAATAATAATGATATGGTTTGAATAGGTAAATTAAATTTTTTTAAGTTCTTAGACCACTTTCATTCTGTGTCAGAAACCTATGCTGTGTCAAATATTTAATTACAATCCAAATTCAGTGCTGTATCAAGCTTGAATGTTGTGTCCATACTTGCCCCAACTGTTCAGGGTTCGACCTCTGCGGTCGTATCAAGCTGCGCCCCAGCGGTGCATTTTATTTAGTCCTATTACAGACTTCAAATGCCTGGAATTTCTTAACAATATGAAATCAGTAGGACCTAATTTGGAAAACTTAAATTGGATCAATGCATCATGAAAATTTGGTCAAAGACAAGTGAACTCCATCAGCTGGAGATTTACCTATTATACTGATAAAACAAATAAAAGAGAGGTGAAAGATAGCAAAGGGACATTCAAACTCATAAGTCGAAAATAAACTGACAACACCATTGCTAAAAAAAAAAGAGACCAACAGACAAACAACAGTACGCAAAACACAACATAGAAAACTAAAGACTGAGCAAGTACAGTTGACAAACTACTTATAGTAGCAGAAAAAATCACATAATTATCAACTAACAATTGATTAATAAACTATGAAAATGAGGTCAAGGTGAGATTTCCCCTGTCAGATGGCAGTGTTAAACATTTGTATTTTCTAAACAGTTATGTTTACAAACCTAGTAAATTCATCAAGTAAGCCAGGATCTGGTGTGTAGAACTTTACACAGAAGTCAAGGGGACTATCTGGTGATGGAAGCTGCTTCAATAGACCCTTCTCATGGTCTAACCAACACTGTAAAAGAAAAGAGTAAAACTATATTTACAGAATAAAGTCTGGATGGTCTGGCGCTTGACGGTTTAACCAGCATTATTGAAACCTTGAAGCATTGTAGAAACTTCAATAGTCATGGGTTCCAATGCACTGTAGAAACTTCAGCCATGGGTCCAAAGCACTGTAGAAACTTCAGCCATGGTCTAAAGCACTGTAGAAACTTCAGCCATAAGTTCAAAGCACAGTAGAAACTTAAGCCATGGGTTCAAATCCTGTAGAGACTACAGCCATGGGTTCAAAGCACTGTAGAAACTTCAGCCATGGGTTCAAAGCACTGTAGAAACTTCAGCCATGGGTCCAAAGCACTGTAGAAACTTCAGCCATGGTCTAAAGCACTGTAGAGACTTCAGCCATAGGTTCAAAGCACTGTAGAAACTTCAGCCATTGGTTCAAAGTCTGTAGAAACTTCAGCCATGGGTTCAAAGCACTGTAGAAACTTCAGCCATGGGTTCAAAGCACTGTAGGAACTTCAGCCATGGGTTCAAAGCACTGTAGAAACTTCAGCCATGGGTCCAAAGCACTGTAGTAACTTCAGCCATGGGTCCAAAGCACTGTAGAAACTTCAGCCATGGGTCCAAAGCTCTGTAGAAACTTCTGCCATGGGTCCAAAGCACTGTAGAAACTTCAGCCATGGGTCCAAAGCACTGTAGAAACTTCAGCCATAAGTCCAAAGCACTGTAGAAACTTCAGCCATAAGTCCAAATCACACTTATAATAATGACTATAGAAACTTCAGCCATGGGTCCAAAGAACTGTAGAAGCTTCAGCCATAGGTAAAGTACTGTTTGCTGATGTAAACTCATTAACACTCTTCTTAAAACTACTTAAGCAATTATATACTGATTTTGAAAATAGGTATTTACATGCATAAGTATAAGGTTACATTTCTTATTTGTTACACCTGTATGACTTTTAGTTGTTCACAATAAGTATGATGTGGCAGACAGTCAAATAGTTGTACAAGAATTTTTTATCAGAAAATACTGCTGCATTGATTTTCAATTAAGTTCAAAGCAAAAAATTATGATTTTCTGTTTTATGCTTTTGTACAAAATGTTTCTGTTCACCTGACTATGAATCTATAATATAAACATAATTTCCGTCTCAACATTATTAATTCATAGTTCTAAAATGCTGCCAAAATCAATAAATAATATAAAAAATAAATCTATTTATAGAAACAATTACAGACTTAGATTGACAAAAATAAGTCACTTTTAAAGTAAGAAGTTATCTAATAACCTATATATTTGTGGAAAATCAATCAGACTCAAAATACATGACAAGCATTTATCTATATCAGGATCATTTATCAACAATATTTTGCTGTATATTTGATAGCTTTACTAAATACTTGTTTTATAGCTATATATGGTAGTTAGATTAGATGGTATAGCAATTAGAACTTCTAAATCTTCTTTTCTATTTAATTTTGTTAGTTATTTATTGTTAACAAATGACATTTTTTTTGTATTTATTACTGAAAATACACAAATTAAAAAGTACATAATATTTAGGTTTTTTCTTTCTTTCTTAGAATTCAATCAAATTTTTCATATTTGCAGCCCTTCATCAGTTAATAAAATGCTTCGCTGGGCGCAGCTTGATACGACCGCAGAGGTCGAACCCTGAACAGTTGGGGCAAGTATGGACACAACATTCAAGCTTGATACAGCTCTGAATTTGGATTGTGATTAAATATTTGACACAGCATAGGTTTCTGACACAGAAAGAATGTGGTCTAAGAACTTCAATTTTTTTAATTTACCTATAATGGTCCAATGTCCAAAATCAAAATACATGGTTAGATTCAGCATATCAAAGAACCCCATATATTCAATTTTTGTTGAAATCAAACAAAGTTTAATTTTGGACCCCAACTAGGACAAACTTGAAAACTGGTCCCATAATCAAAAATTTAAACACATGTTTAGATTCAGCATATCAAAGTACCCCAAGAATTCAATTTTTGTTAAAATCAAACTAAGTTTAATTTTGGACCCTTTGGACCTTAATGTAGACCAATTTAAAAAACAGGACCCAAAATTAAAAATCTAAAAAGACAGTTAGATTTGGCATATCAAAGAACCCCAATAATTCAATTTTTGATGAAATCAAACAAAGTTTAATTTTGGACCCTTTTGACCTCAATATGAACCAATTTGATAGCGGGCCCACAAATAAAAAATCTAAATACAGGGTAAGATTCAACATATCAAAGAACCCCATATATTCAATTTTTGTTGAAATCAAACAAAGTTTAATTTTGGACCCCAACTTGGACCAACTTGAAAACTGGGCCAAAAATCAAAAATCTAAATACATGTTTAGATTCAGCATATCAAAGAACCCCATATATTTAATTTTTGTTGAAATCAAACAAAGTTTTATTTTGGACCCCAACTTGGACCAACTTGTAAACTGGGCCCATAATCAAAAATCTAAACACATGTTTAGATTCAGCATATCAAAGAACCCCAAGAATTCAATTTTTGTTAAAATCAAACTAAGTTTAATTTTGGACCATTTGGACCTTAATGTAGACCAATTTAAAAAACGGGACCCAAAATTAAAAATCTAAAAACACAGTTAGATTTGGCATATCAAAGAACCCCAATAATTCAATTTTTGATGAAATCAAACAAAGTTTAATTTTGGACCCTTTTGACCTCAATATGAACCAATCTGATAGCGGGCCCACAAATAAAAAATCTAAATACATGGTAAGATTCAGCATATCAAAGAACCCCATATATTCAATTTTTGTTGAAATCAAACAAAGTTTAATTTTGGACCCCAACTTGGACCAACTTTAAAACTGGGCCAAAAATCTAAAATCTAAATACATGTTTAGATTCAGAATATCAAAGAACCCCATATATTCAATTTTTGTTGAAATCAAACAAAGTTTAATTTGGACCCCAACTTGGACCAACTTGAAAACTGAGCCCATAATCAAAAATCTGAACACATGTTTAGATTCAGCATATCAAAGAACCCCAAGAATTCAATTTTTGTTAAAATCAAACTAAGTTTAATTTTGGATCCTTTGGACCTTAATGTAGACCAATTTAAAAAACGGGACCCAAAATTAAAAATCTAAATACACGGTTAGATTTGGCATATCAAAGAACCCCAATAATTCAATTTTTTAATTTTGGACCCTTTTGACCTCAATATGAACCAATTTGATAGCGGGGACCACAAATAAAAAATTCTAAATACATGGTTAGATTCAGCATATCAAAGAACCTCATATATTCAATTTTTGTTGAAATCAAACAAATTTTAATTTTGGACCCCAATTTGGACAAACTTGAAAACTGGGCCAAAAATCAAAAATCTAAATACATGTTTAGATTCAGCATATCAAAGAACCCCATATATTCAATTTTTGTTAAAATCAAACAAAGTTTAATTTTGGACCCTTTGGACCTTAATGTAGACCAATTTGAAAACTGGACCCATAATTACAAATCTAAATACACGGTTAGATTCGGCATAACAAATAAATAAATGTGGTCAAAGATTTTACAAATCTAATGCGCCATACTGTGCAATTAAAGATTACTTCTTGAAATTTTTCAATATTTGAAATTTGAAAAAAAAATAATATTTGAAGAATAATTCTTTTTAATTTCTGAAATCTGAAATGAGAAAAAATTGACCCCCCACAATTTCTTTTTACCCCCCCCCCTTTCCCCCAAAAAATTCTTTCCCTCAAGATATGGTCATAATCTCAATTCAAATTTCCAATGGAATTTGCAGCCATAATTACCCATTTAAATTTACCATAGTGCTAACTTAATCTATTTTATAATAGAATTTAAAATATAGTGTCAAATCTTTCATATGGATTTTTTTGTAAAAAAAAAAGATGCAACATTTGCAGATATTTTTACTGGTCTTCCTTTATAAATATGCATTTCTTTAAACATAATTTAAAAGCAGTGTAAGGGAAGTAACCAAAACGTTGTATTTGGATTACCTCCCTTACACTGTTTTAAATTATCTTGATTGTTCATTAACCATTACTTTATACATAATTTAAAAGCAGTGTAAGGGAGATAATTTCAATGATGTATTTGATTTATCTCCCTTACACTGCTTTAAATTATGTTTTGTACTAAAGTATTTGTCCATTAACCAGGACAACCTTGTTTTTCCCCCTTTTTTGCCCCTAATTCTTAAACGGTTTGAGCCATAACCCCCCAAAGCAAATCCTAACCATCCCTTTGTGGTATGGAAACTTGTAGTATAATTTCAGAGAGATCCATACACTGTTCCACAGTTATTGTCTGGAAACTAGAAAATGCTTATTTTTGGCCCCTTTTTGGCCCCTAATTCCTTAACTGTTGGTACCATAACCCCCAAAATCAATCCCCACCTTCCTTTTGTGGTATTGAACCTTATGGTAAAATTTCACAGAGATCCATTCACTTAAACTAAAGTTAGAGTGCGAAAACTAATGCGTATTCGGACGACGACGCTGGACGACGACGCCGGACGACGACGACGACGACGACGACGCCAACGTCATACCAATATACGACCACAAAAATTTTTTTGCGGTCGTATAAAAAATAATAAAATATTAATCATGTCATAAAAATTAAAAATTCTCAAAATTAATGTTCTTTTGAAAATGTTCTAGGAATAACCACGATTTTATCTGTAGTATTTATGGTATTTACATAGACACTTAATTTCATGATTTTTTACAACTCTGCATATAGCTAGTCTTACTGGATATTTTGGGTATTTCAAAGCACACTTAAGTTTGTTGGTCACCTTTACCCAAGAAATCAACAAAAACTAGTACCTCAGGAACAATAATAAATCCTTGATAGCAGGACCTAAATGGAATTAACATAAAGTATTTATCTAAAGTATCAATCTTTATATGGTCAGAAGCTATTGTATTTTTTTCTGTTTTGCTCAGAAATACAATATATCAATTGTAACAGCCCTAAGTGTTGTCAATACCAATGATTGGAACTGTTAGCAAGCAACAGCCAGGGTCTTTATATTCATTACAGATTTAATGGACAATAACGATGTTCTGATGCTAACTTTAATTTGGAGCTATTCACTGTATTCAATTATTGAAGAAGAGATATTTTGCCATAATAAAAAGCTGTATTGGTATATATAAACGTGAAATCACCGAACTTTAGTTTAACAAATTTTAGTTCACAGAATGGTGGTGAAACTTTACCTATATGAATCAAAATCTATTCAAGTCTTTTGGAGCGCATATACCATTAAAATATTCTATGTAGCACAATGATTTCATCATACTCTCTTTTTTTTTTTAAATAGGATATTTGAACAACAATCTATCTATCAATCTTTGTAAAAGAAATCTTGTAGATAAATATCTGTTTGCTCATTCCACAGTATTGATTGGATGATCTGGAAATGACCCAATTTTGACAGGTCTAGCATTTGTAACTTAAATACAAGAAATTTGGAGGCAAATTTGTAAAACAAAGTTCACATACAATATTACTGACATCTGACAGACTCATGTCTTGTCTAGAAGTAGAATAATTTTTGGTAGATTTGAAAAAAACAACATTTAAGGCCCAAAAAATATGGTCTTATAAAAAAATTCGTCATTGATTATAAATGTTTCATATTCTATGAACTTATGAGATCAGTGGGTTAGATAATCATTCTCTGAAGACACAAATCAATTGCTTTTGACTGTATTTTGATAAAATTTTACGTAACAATATCTTGCTAATCAAAATGAGAATCAATCAAGAATTTTTGTCTGAACTTCAGGAAAATCCTGCGAAAAGATTCCTAAAAATTTCATGTATCCGTGATTTTATTGTCCACATTTAATCATAGTAGAATGTTTCATCAAATTTTAATTTCCTCGGGTTAGCTTAATAACAAAGAAATATGAAAGTCAACATAGACAGCTTCTTGTAGGTCTGATAGTCTGAGATATTAGAAGCTGAAAGTAATCAATACATTCTAGTACAATGTATTTAATAACCACAAGAGAGTGAATCCTGAAATGCAGGCCTCTAAACAAACTCCTACAGACATGGGACAAGTGGTGACCAAAGCAAACTTGTCCCAATGGAAACGTAATAAAATTTAATATATTTTGAATAAAAAATATAACAGAACAATGTTTTAGTTGATTTGACATCCATGCTTCGATTGTTCAACTCTCCCCCTTCATCATCAGTAGAGTTGTAAGTTTGAGGTCAGGAAATTATTATTCCCAGTTGGCAAAAAAATTTTCAAGTCTATTCTGCAACGATCAGCTCTGTACATTTGCAGTTCAGGTCCAAGTTTTGGCGTCCAAGGAAAATATTTTTTTATTTGCTATTTTGCCATTTGTATATATCCTGCCACTTATTGCATTTTTTTATACATGTACGCAGTACAAATCCAATATGTTTTATTTTATGATAACACTTTTTAATTCTTTATTTCCACCAGAATCATCTTAATATATAGCACTACAGCAAATTTGAAGAATAAAAATAATCAATATGCTACAATAGGTCATTACCAATCAAAGCCCATTACTCAAGCTAAAAGTGTAAGATAAGAATGTAGGTCAAGGTGATCAAATTTTGCATTTTTAATAAAATATTCCATCAAGTATCCACTTTACCAAAATATTATTCTATGAATTGTAGTTATTTTTAATTAAATCTTAAAGAAAGATTAAGTATAAGTGACAGACAACAAAACATCTTAAACAAAACACAATATCATTTCCTAAACTTAAGATGTTGGCTAAGGGGAAGAAAGGTTCTCTGTATAAAACTGCTAGGATTTCGCTTTTCTTCATAATATCAGAAATGATACATACCCTAACACCATGTGTATCATCATACTGTAGATCGAAATAGTCAGATTCAACCAGTTGTAAATACCGTACCACAGCTTCCCATAATACATTTCCTAATCCCTTGATCTGTAATAAAAAAATAACAATATTTTATGTGTAACAAATCCATCAATACAATACTGTATTTCATTATGAAAAGAAATGTTGCCACTACTTTTGTGATTCAACACTGCTTAGAAATCCCTATAGACAAACTGGTGAGAAATGAGTTATATCAGGTGTTACATTTCATCTTCCTTAGAAGATGCTTCAGCCCTAAGATTATATTGCAAAGCTATACAAGCCCTTCAATAAACACAAATACTTTACCAGAGGTTTACATCTACATTTCTATTTCCTATTCATAAGGGAGCTTCAATGAAAATTCACAGACAAAATTTATCATTTATTTCATGTAGATACCATATACTGGCTCTGAACGGATGGTAAAACAGTTAAGGAGTAAAGGGGTAATAAGGCCTTTGCCTAAAATTTCTAGTAACTTTGAAAAGTTACCATTAACGATCTAAAATTTAACTTTCAGAAAGAAAAAAATCTACATTTCAACAGCTAGCACAGTAGATATGGGAGGATATATTTTGTAAGATATTTATATCACTTGTTTTTCTTTGTATTTACAGAGATGATCACCGAGATGAAAAAGAAAAAGAAACTAGCTAAAGTGTTAATTCCTCTACTAGTATTCTTGGTGATAGTCAACACAATTTCTATAGTAAGGTACCAGTACAAAAAATGTAACTTATTTACAAAAAAAACATAACAAACTGGAAAGATCAACTGATAATTGCTTGCATAGTATTATCCCATAAGAATTTTTTTTAATGTGATAAAAGGTGTTCACAGTTTCCAATATCTTCATTATTGGGGTTAATATTTATTTCGTATTTATTTTTATGAAAAAATTCAGTTTTCAATGTTCATTGTTTTACAATATGATTAATGGACAATTTGTTATATGAAGACAACAAACCCAATGACACAAACAACTATTTATATGAAGACAGCAAACTAATGACACAAACAACCATTTATATGAAGACAACAAACCAATGACACAAACAACCATTTATATGAAGACAACAAACCAATGACACAAACAACCATTTATATGAAGACAGCTCTTAAGTTCATTATTGGTATAGATAGATAGAAGTTCAATGTTCATTGGTTATTTTATCAACCATTTTTAGGACAAAACAAGCATGATCTTTAATGAAAATGAACCCTGCTTAAACTAAAAATTGTAAGATAAGATACCAAGTTGATGAAAAAAAAACAATCAGTTTAAGAAAGACTGCTTCTTGCGCTCAAATGCTGAGTTCTTGGCAGAGGAGCAGAAAATACACAATCTGTAGTTAGTTATACCTGGCTAGAGCTTTACATGAGTAAGATTATACTAAGATATCACCAAAGCACATTGCCATATAATTACCATATTTTCTATATCTGGACATATATGATTAAACAGAGATCACAAAAAATCTACAATGTAACTGTTGAACTACCAATATGTAGTTTTTTTTATATAAACATTTTCTTTTTTTTTTCAGTCTGTTCTCTGAAGTTGAATTTTACAAACAAAAGCAGAATTTGAATAATGAAATGGACCAGAAATTCATCAAGCATACTGTCCCATATACAGAAAGCAGTGTTTATTCATCTTATGAATCAACTGTTCCTACAAACACTACTGTTTACCCATTTAGATTTTACATATATGAATTGCCAAGAAGTTTAAACAAAGACATTCTTGAATATTGTCATAATTATCTAGATAGAAGCTGTTATAATTTTTCCTTGTATGGAATGGGAAGAAAAATAGTACCAAACCATTATACAGATGGATCTATAAGTATATGTGGTACACATCAATTTAATTTGGAACCAATTATTCACGAAAAACTGAAAAGAAACCCTTTAAGAACAAGAAATCCACAGAAAGCTGACATGTTTTATGTTCCTGCATATATAGGACTATTGTGCATATGTCAGAATGATAAAGCATCAAAAATGATACAGACATTGAAAGATTTTCTGACAAACAGTTCCTATTTTTCAACTGGGAAGCCTCATTTTTCAACAGCTTCAAAAATTGAAAAAGAAATGGAAAGCAGTAATTGCCCATATTTGTTTCAGTCTTTTACAAACAAAATTACATATATAACCATTGAAAAGCAAAAAATGTCATATGGATTTAATACTGTATGGCCATTTTCAATAATGTATAAAAACTCAATTATAGTAGCGCCATACCCGTCATATGGCCATTTTCAACAATCAAAAGAAATATATCTGTCCACAGTGCCAATTCATGATAGAGATGTTTTTATTCTTCTTCCTGCTGGTGAACACCCATCAAGTCATCAAAGACTGAAAATTATGAACCAATTTGACATTAAGACAAAATTCCCATACAGCAGATTCAAATTGTGCCATGTAAACCATTCAAACAGAATGGTCCTGTTTTATACCAAAGAGTGTGATCATAGTATTAGTAAATCATTATTTTCATGGATGCAGCATTCAGTATTTTGCTTACAGCCTCCAGGTGATTCCCCTTCAAGAAAATCCTTCTACGATTCTATCATGAGTGGATGCATTCCTGTCATTTTAACGGAGGATGGACACAATCCATATGCATTTCAAGAGTTTCTAGATTACTCAACTTTTACTATTTCAATTGAAGTGACTAAAATTGTAGAACAGGGTCATAACATTTATAATCTCTTACAAGATGTGTCAACTATTCAAATCCAAAAAATGCATGAAAAAATAAGAAAGATTGCTAAATATATGCAGTATTCCATTCCTAGTGGTAGAAGAGAAAGAGAAAATGATGCTCTGCAGCTTATATTTCATAAGTTGGCAAATAAATTTAAGCTTCCTTATGACAAACAATTACAAGGCATAAATTAGCTACAATGTGTGTGCTCAACATAAATCTTTTTTTATTATTTATTGTAAAACATCATTCATTGGAAATACTTTCTATAAAAAAGAAGATGTGGTATGATTGCCAATGAGACAACTCTCCACAAGAGACCAAATGACACAGAAATTAAAAGCTATAGGTCACTGTACGGCCTTCAACAATGAGCAAAGTCCATACTGCATATTCAGCTATAAAAGGCCCCAAAATCACAAATGTAAAACAATTCAAACGAGAAAACTAACGGCCTTATTAATGTACAAAAAAAATCAACGAAAAACAAATAAGTAACACAGCAACAAACGACAACCACTGAATTACAGGCTCCTGACTTGGGACAGGCACATACATACAGAATTTATGTCTTTTATGAACACAATTTTAAATTCCTGTTAAGTTTAAATCTTGCACATCTATATACAGGGGTTCAAATTAGTGTGAGTCCTACGTCTTTTCTAGGAGTGGACTTAAATTACAAAAGTCAAGCACCCATCATTATTTACACTGATGCTTTATACAGAACCATTGAATTTCTTATAGAGGACCTTTCACTGAAAATTTCAAATGGTCCTGGACCTTTCATTTTTTAATGCAAATTTGAACCCCTGATATATAGTAAGCTATGATAAGTTTGTCTTGTAAAATGGGCTGAATGATAAATTTGAATATGGTTTTTATCAGTACTTACATTGATTTTGTTTTTGATAATAAAGATGTATTGCTTTGCATTTATGAAAACATATGGTCATACATCCTGTTGATATTATTTACATATATGTTTGCATTGCACAATGTGGGGCCAATATATAAATAAATGTATTAGTCCTGGCACAAGTTCATGCTTTTTCATATTGTTTATGACAACTTTACTAAATCCCTTGGATGTGTCCTGATTGATACTTTAAACTGGGAGAATGATTTATGATGTAATCCCTATGTCTCTCATTCTGCAACCTATGTCACAGGAGAGACAAAAAACTTTATCAAAGTGCTTGTGAGTACTGAAAGGGTGAAGATTGTTTTCGTTAGGCAATTTTGTAAATGTAAAATAAAACATTGAATTGTAATTAGCTCATCTTCGCTAGCCAAGGGTTACGATCCAGTCCCTTCCTCTCTACCCTTGGCGGATTGAGTTAGAATTTCGGAGACACAAGGTAATAACTTCTATTGGTCACAGTGGTAACTGGCTGCATCCAATCAAAAAGCACCTTTAAGTTGATCATGTGTAAATGTAGAAAATGTAAATAAACAATTTAAACGTAGAACGATATTTGGTGACAATATTAAAGTTCTTAATTAACTTATTGAAGTTCCTGGGTATGTTTCTCACACAAATGTTGGAATGTCAACATATATTTAAAGTTCCTGCTTCACAAAATTTGTAAAAACTAGACACAATCATTTTGACACCTCTACATTGAAGATAGTTCAAGTGCTGCCATTGGTCAAAAATGATGATGTCGGAATGGGCGTGACTTTTATCTACTGGTAGATGGCGCAGCATTGTAATCACAAATGTTGGCTTAATCTGCCAAGGGTAGAGAGGAGGAGACTGGATCGTAACCCTTGGCTAGCGAAGATGTAATTAGCTAGGCAAATTATAAATTTGAGTTGGAGTTATCTTCCTTTGTTCATGATTGTACATTGTAGTTGAGCCTATTTTTATACCAGATTCATACACCATACATTACTTATGTAATTTTCAATAAAGAAAAGTTTTCTTGAAAAGTACGGTAATTCAAATACACATCATATATTTGGTAACTTGAATATCTAATTATAACATATCACTAATGAATTGCTTGACATTGACTTGATAGGATCTAAAGAATGATCACTTCACTGCACTATTTTGTTTGAACTATCAAAGGTAGTGAAAAACCATGGAAGATTTAAATATCAAGTCAGTACCATAGGGTTTTGATTGTATTTCATGCAATCTTTATAACCCAAAAACATATCAAGGTCAACATACGGTTTTCACCAATAGGGAGAGGGAGAAGATGCAAATGGGGTAATAAAAACAAAAAAAGTTAAAAGAAAATAAAATGCTCCACTGGGCACAGCTTGATACGACCGCAGAGGTTGAACCCTGAACAGTTGGGGCAAGTATGGACACAACATTCAAGCTTGATACAGCACTGAATTTGGATTGTGATTAAATATTTGACACAGCACAGGTTTCTGACACAGAATGAATGTGGTCTAAAAACTTAAGAATTTTTAATTTACCTTTTCAAACCATATCATTATTATTTGCTTTTATATATAAATCAGAAATAACCAATTTAAAATGGAAAATTTATACAAAAAAAAATCCCCCCCCCCAATTTTTTGATCCCCCTTATGATTCATCACCCCCAAACTCAATCCCAGCCTTCCCTTTGTGGTATGGTACCTGCAGTACAATTTCAGAGAGATCCATACACTTGAACACAAGTTATTGTCTGGAAACTAGAAAAATGCATGTTTTTTGGCCCCTTTTTGGCCCCAAATTCATAAAGGTTTAGGGCAATTACCCCCAAACTCAAACCCAGCTTTCCCTTTGTGATATGGAAACTTGTAGTACAATTTCATAAAGATCCATACACTTACACACAAGTGATTGTCCTGAAACTAGAAAAATTTGTTTTTTGCCCCTTTTTTGGCCCCTAATTCCTAAAAAAACCAATGTGTCTTCGGACGACGACGACGACGCCAACGTCATACCAATATACAACCGCAAAAATTTTTTGCGGTCGTATAAAAACCAGAAAATGCTATGGCCTAATAAAAGTATTAAAGTCAGACAAACAACAGTCTGAAAAACACTACACACGTAACACAGTAAACAAGACATTTTACAACACAAACCCAATAAACAACAGGATTGAAATCATATGCTCCAGAATAATCAAGAGTTTCAGGTAACTGGTAACAAGTACATCAGTATTTTGCCCTTTACAATCAAGTGCTTGCAATTTGTGGTAAAGGCTGATCTATAAATATAATCAACTGCAGTCTCTAAACTGAAAAGGAATTTTATCTTGTCTTATCATAGAGCCCTTCAGATCTTTTCTAATTAACAAAATACAAAGAGTACACCAGCCCTATGTGTACAACATCTGTTATATGATAGAGGTAAAAGATAATTTATTGTGCATCTACTGATATATAATAAAAAATTCTGCTTTTTCTCTTATCATGTGCGATTAATTACTTTCAACAAATCTGGTTCTGCTCCTGTTTTGCAAATTACTATTTTCATATTACCCTTCTTCAAACAAAAGCACTGTATTACAGCTAAATATTTTCTGAGTGTTGGCTTACGGATATTAACTATACCAGTAGACATCATGTTCAGTTCACATACCAAACTTACAGCACTTTACAGTACACAATTATATGTACTACATAACGATTTGAAAATTTGTATTGTCTAACATAAGTTCTGGTACTTAGCTTGAAAGCATTCTTACCTAATATTCAGTTTGAAATTGAAATAAATAGATGCAAACAGAACAGTATACTAAATATCAATGGTCTATAGCAAGAATTTATTTGAAATGACCTAACAGAAAATTTCAGAAGATGACAATGCTTAATAATTGTCTCACCTAACCTTGTTATGTTGTAGTTGTGACAAAATATGTTTTGTCAATAGCTGATTTGTTTTGCTGACAACATAGTAAAATAAACTGTTAACACAGCGATATGTTTCACCTATTTGTTATTTTGATAATGCAAATGTTGAAATTAAAATTACAATACTTTAACATGTAAGTTATGCAAATATTCAAAGTCAATGAACCATGATTAAATGTAGAGGTCTAAACAGTCTCCATGGAAATGAGATGTGCCAATGCTAATACAACTGTAAACCAAATACCATTGACTTTTCATAAGTCGTTCCCTTTAAACAAACCTAAACACAAACATTAACTTGTAAACTATGTAAAAGTTTCAAAGTCAATGAACCATAATAAGGGGGTGGGGTTATATAATCTCCATGGAAATGAAACTTGCAAATGCCAATACATTTGCATACCGAATATCATTGAATTAACATTAGTGGTTCATCTTATACTGACCTAATCACAAACTAATACATGTAAACTAAGCAAAAGTTTCAAAGTCAATAGACCATGACTAGGAAGTAAGGACCAAATATTCTCCATGGAAATAAGATGTGCTAATGCTTCTACAACTGCATACCAATTATCATTGACCTACCACTAACGGTTCCCCTTAAACTGACCTAATCACAAACTAATACATGTCAACTAAGCAAAGTTTCAAAGTCAATAGACCTTGACTGAGGGGGTGGGGCCAAATAATCTCCATGGTAATGAGATGTGCCAATGCTAATACAACTGCATACCAAATATCATTGACCTACCACTAGTATTTCACCATGAACTAGACCTAATCACAAACTAATACATTGTTGACGCCGCCACCGCCACCACCGGAAACAGCATACCTATGTCTCGCTTTTTGACTCCGTCAAGGCGAGACAAAAATTAGGATTTGTTGTATGGTTGCCAATGAGACAACTATCCATTAGAGACTAAAGGATGAGGATGTTAACAATTGTTTGTAAACTAATAAATGCATAATCTTTGCATACATGTATTACCAAAATAAACTGTTTAAAATGGGAAAGACTTTTTTCGAACACCCAAATATCAAATCTGATGCCTGGTATAAAAAGAGTGCCATGTTTTCTGCAATTGACAGAATCTTTCATTCTTTGCAAAAACTGTTTTGAGGGATCAGTAGGTGGCCATTTGTAAAACCAAATGTTTGTCCTTACATGAATATGCCCTCTTTTTCTTGTGGCAATCTATATTTGCCCCTCAATTAAGGTCAATTTTGTTTTTAACAAAGTTAAAAGACAATCACAGACTTTCCTCCAACAGGAAAAGCTCTGATCAAAGAAACTCTTAATTAGTTAATAAAGATCATCTGAAGTGAAAAATCAATTTAAACCAGGGAATTTCTATGACAGAAGATCTGTAAGTCCTATTTACTTTTGACTTGGAGATTTTCAATATGAAAGACAACAGGAAACAGTTACAGATAATATTAAGCTGAAGAAGTTATTTTCTCTAAAGAGTTACCTTTCCTTGCAAACAAAAATAAAACAATTGCTATAAATACAACAGTGTACTAGCACCTTCTAAATACCATATGCTTTTGGTGACAATTTTAATAAGATATCAGTATCATTTGTGTGTACCTTCTAGATCTCACACATCATCCATTAAGGAAGAATGTAAGGAATTTCATCAATTGTAAGAAAAACAAGTAGATATCAGTCGATAAAAATTCTAAAAATTCTAAAAAAGAAAAGGATGGGAAGTGTAAAATTTTAATATGAACTAAAATTGTAGAAATGAAGGCATTTGAATGGTTAAAATGGTGCAAAACCCTAGTTATACACTATATTTCAACACTAGAATAATTATTTTAAAATATAAAGTATTTTTTTACCATCTCTACAGACTAATTAAAACTGAATAAAAATTACTGAGGTAAACATTAAATAAGAAGATAAGTGCTAAATCTATTTTTGACTTCTGCATTTTGAAATGTAACCTTTCCCTACCCTTATTTATTTTACCAATAACAAAGTACTCTTAAAAGCTAGAGTCAATAACTGAACTCCCATTGAGAGCAATTTCGTGATAAGCTCATATAAATTTTATCAATGAACTTATGCATAATGTACCAAATTGGGCTGATACAGAATCACCTTATTCAGAATATTCTTATTAATTATTAATCATTAGGTTATAAAACTAAAGTACGGAAATTTCAAGGTTCAAAAAATTATTCTTAGATCATGATAACAATTTATAAATAATTATGATCATATTTCATGTACCTTACAAGGGAATATGGATTTTTTTAAGTTGAAATTTTATTAGCAGGTGCACTGTTTATATAAAAAAAAAAATGCAATCAAATAATATTGCATAAAAATCTAATTTATAGTCCCTGAGAAAAATGCAATGACAATTTCTTACATGGCCATCGTGTGCAAAAATATATAGTCAAACCAGTTATAAAGGTCAACTCTATTAAGTAAAAGCATGACTAGTCAATCATCCTTTTTTTTGTACCATTGTAGCAGAACCAACTGTTGATTTATTTATTTTCCTGGGTACCAATTTTCAAGGATTCAAGAAAACTTGCATTTTCATGGATATTTAATCTCAACAAATATTGGCATCCCACTAATTATAATGAATCCCCAGAATATTCATTTTAAACCTGTATTTGAAGGACATCTCTCTCATACTTCTATTTTTATCTAGTAAGAACAGTGACCTTTGTATACTGGTTTTAATGTATAAATATTTGGCAAACAGGAAGTTGATGAGGGATGCATATATGTAAAAACACATTACACAGTATATAGCTAGATATAGCATGCTCATAATTTTAAATTTACTGAAACACAAATCAGAACTCCAGAATTTTTTAATCCTTATTTATCTTGGATTAAAACATGATTTATGAGCACAGTTAAAGACAAGAAATGAGCAGCTTGAATTGCTCATCTACTTTCATTTGTGTATTATGGTACAATTTTTCTCTTATCTATTATTGAGCTCTGTTGATTCTAATGCCGCTACACAAACAACATGGGTAAAGTAAACACGAAATGTAACAGATATCTCTCATCTTTAAGTCAAAATTGTCATTTCCAATTACAGAAAAGAAATTTTATTCCATAGTGATGTCAACAGACAATGGAGCCTCACAGCATGATATAATATCAAATTCTGAAGGCAGTCTAAATTTGCCAATGTAGCACTTTATTTATTATGATATTGATCTTTTTCAGTTATTGTATCAAGATTTAAATCAAATGTATCATTATAACAGACAAATATGATAACCTTTTGTGATATAGATTTGCAGATTAACTATTTCACACATGAACTGTTGTGAAATACCTTCTTTTGTTATTACTATTTGATGCCAAAACAAAAACCACTGAATCAGATAATTGTAATTGCTTTATATTTATAACTCTTAAAACTACCTGCTAAACAAATAACCAATAACAGTTTAACCATTAAGAATTCTGCTGCATAAAAAGTTAAAACATGAAACAGTTGTATATGACCTGCCTCACTATTTTGTATACATATTTCTCTAATTCTTCGTCAATTTATCCTTTTCTGCACCCATTGTATAAAAAAAATTTAATGAACGTGTGGTTCGTTTGATCTCAGTTCTTCATTGGTTAAAATCCGATTATGACGTTGAATTTTTTTGCTTTCCTCTGAATTTCCTATTGTGACGGCATGAAAAAAGGCGACCATGCCTGATGACGTCACATAGAAAGAACACATCTTTTTGCAGATCATTCAAAAAGAAGGAATAAGTTTGCCTGCATATTGTTTGAAAATCATTAGAGAAACAGATTCCACCACCAAATCTCGTGTAATACGATATTTATCCACTCTCGACAGTTAAATTTTAAATATCTTAAACGCTCGGCAAGCCTCGCGTTTTAAATTTGAAAATTTAACTGTCTCGATTGGATAAATATCGTATCACACTCGATGCAGTGGTAGAATCTATATATATATATGACCTGCCTGGTATACGTATGACTTTACAGAAGTTAAACAGAGATAATTGGATTAGCTTTAGTGAATCCAGATTAGATTGGTGAGGTTACATTCTAACTACATTATACAGGAACAAATTTATCAAGAATCTATAAAGCCCAGCGGTCAGACATTTCCTCTTCAGGAAAATTGCTTCCTGATTTGTTTCCTAGATTAACAAATGGAAACCTCTTATTGCTTTCTATTGTCTTCTTAGCACTTTGACAATTCTTGTGTAACCTATTTCAATATGATATATGATGGTCCTCTGGGGCTAAATCAGTCTGCTGTTTCTCAAGGAACAAGAAAATTCTCCTTCATTGTACGGCCTAGCAAATTAAGCTTGAGACAAAACGTCTGAAAATCTTCTGTAGTAGATATATATACATGTATGGACTAAATAGCAGTATTAAGAAACATCTGTGCGCCTAATCATAATATTGATAACTGATTTTAACTCATTAAAAAAGTTTATGAAGTCGAAGTTCCAAGTGGTACCACTTTCTTAGCAAAAAAAAAATGATTTTTGAAAATCAACTTGTTTGCCAAAAAAAACAACTTTGCATAACCATGTGCTCAGAGAGGGGAAAAAATATTTCCAAACTTACAGTAATCTGAAATGCATGAACACTGTCATCTAGGAACTTCACTCTTAGATTGACTACTTTGCCCTTTGGAGGGCCTCTTTGTGACAATGGGTCACTCATCCCTCTATTATACTTCCATCTAAGTCATCATACCATGATGATCTGCTTAAAACCTGAAAAGAAAAAGAAATATATAAGACTTTTCTCACAAGGATACCAAAGATATAGCTACACTGTGAAGGTCTACTTCATATAAAATAGGAGACTTACAAATCAAGACTTAGTGAGAATTATTCTATTTTACAACAAATAGCTGCTTCTTTCATTTATTTACATGTTGCAGCAGCACTTGACATATTTTACCCTTTTTTATGTCATATTCCAGAGCTGGTGATTCCTATTAGGATTTCCTTGATTGATGGCTGCTGCTTTTCTATTAGCAGTGTTCATTGTAATGTTTTGTAAAGTATTTTATAAGTCTTTTTCACTTAATAGTATACACTTATTGACTGGTTATAAAGGTAATAGCTGTTTGTTGTCCCTAAGATACCAACTACCGGTATTGCTTGTGGCAAAGCCGAGGGCAATAGTTAGTATCAAAGGAAAACAAACTTGCTATTACCCTCATAACCAGTTATTAAGTGTTTTATTATACCGAACAAAACAACTCTCTAAAAAAATCTACATACACGTGCACCACGTGGCAAAAACAAACTAGTCACATATATACATGCAGAAAATAAATGTAAATATTTTATTTCCTTTTATCAAAACCAGAAGTCCTTGTGTTAAATTCCAATGCATATATTTACTGCTAACTAAAATTTATTCCTGTACACCAAAGCAATCACAGATTATGAAGACCACCACAGACCCATATCATACATTTGTTCTGTTGTACTTCTATCATTATGTCACATACATTTTCTTTTTCTTTATAAATTTTTCCTGTAAGTTACATATTTATTTGAAATTAGGACAGACACATTCAGATTATTTCTGAGTTTTACTTTCCCATGCGCAAAAGTTCAAGTAACATGAATAAAATTGAGAATGGAAATGGGGAACGTGCCAAAGAGACAACAACCCGACCACAGAGCAGAATAGTCAATCACATCATTGTTGTCTAATGAAAAATAAGTATGAAAAAGTATGGGAAATATGATTATGAAACTATTGACCGGGGTAATAGTCTTTGAAACTATTGACTGGCAGTCTGTGGAATTGGAATAGCACAAATATTTCATTATGTTTTATATAGAAAAAAACATACTGAGGTATAATAATGTTTTTTTATGTCACGTGTTTAAAGTGTACCTCAATTTTCACTTGCCCCTTGCCATATCCTTACATATTTTTAAATCTTTTTTTACATATATTTGATAGAAATTCAGACTTTGCCTGATGTTATAAAGAACATTTTTTTTCCCCCCTCATCTTGTAATAACTGTGGGCAAGTTTTAAGATGTTTCAGGTAATTAATCACAATTCTTGAAATGGTTAACAATTTTTTATTATGTATCAATTCATTGTAACAGAGCTTGGTAACAATTGGCATTCAAGTGATTTTTCAAATGTTCATTTTTGACTGTGGCTTAATATCACCTTTATTGACCACTCTAATACGAACGAAGAAACGAAGGGATTAATGTGAATTATTTGTAAAAAATAATCAAAGTGACCGTTTAAAAGTTGTGGAGTAATCTATAATTCTTACAGGAGGTCATTTTAAGGATGACTTGGATCCCAACAGCTAAAAACATGGCCTAGACTTTTTTTCAATACGCATCATATGTGACATAATGACTTCAAAATGCCAAACCCAGATGTGTGTAACAGTTTCTTATTATCATGACATACATCTAAACAGGCACTATAAAGTTATAGGTAATAAATTGCTTCGCTGAGCGCAGCTGGATACGACCACAGATGTCCAACCCTGAAAAGTTGGGCCAAAATGGACACAATATTCACGCTTGATACAGGTCTGTATTTGGATTGTAACTAAATTTTTGACACATAATAGGTTTCTGACACAGAATAACTGTAGTCAAAGAACTTCAAATTCGTTATATGATTTGAATTTATATTCAATTTATTGCTTTTGTGCAATACACTATGCTGTTGCGAATTGACCCCCCCCCCCCCACCAAAAAAAATTTATTTAACCCTGGTTTTTTGCTTTGTGCAATATACTATGCTGTTGAATATCAACCCCAAAAAAAAAATATTTGAAGAAATTTTCTTTTAATTTTTGAAATCTGAAATGAGAAAAATTGTCCCCCCTCTATTTTTGTTCACCTCCCCCCTTTCTCTTATTCCCCCAAAAAATTCTTTCCCTCAAGATATGGTCAGTATCTCAATTCAAATTTCTAATGCAGTTTGCAACCAAAATTACCCATTTAAATACATCATAAAAGTTTTAAAATATAAAATGACATACATACATGTAGTCAGGGCTAAAATTAATATTAATTAATAGTAACTGCTAAAAATAAATTGACAGCTAATCACCTCAAGACAATCATCATTTCTTAATACATAATTTACAAGCAGTGTAAGGGAGGTAATCAAACAGTGTTCTTTAATTTGAATTGGATTACCTCCCTTACACTGCTTTTAAATTGTCTCAATTGTCCTTTAACCAGAAAAACCCTTGTTTTTCCCCTTTTTTTGCCCCTAATTACTAAATGGTTTGAGCCATAACCCCCCAAAGTCAATCATAACCATCTCTTTGTTGTATGGAAGTTTGTGGTATAATTTCAGAGAGATTCATACACTTTAACACAAGTTATTGTCTGGAAACTACAAAAATGCTTATTTGGGCCCCTTTTTTGGCCCCTATTTCCTATACAGTTGGGACCATAACCCCCAAAATCAATCCCAACCTTCTTTTAGTGGTTATAAACCTTGTGTTAAAATTTTATTGATTTCTATTTACTTATACTAAAGTTATTATCCGGAAACCATCTGTTTTCGGACGACGCGGGACGACGACGACGACGACAACGTGATACCAATATACGACCAATAAATTTTTAATTTTTGCGGTCGTATAAAAATATTAGTGACATTTGACAAACTTTGATTGCCAGGGTTTAAACTCTTATCAAATGTTTAAGTCAGATTAAAATGGGAGGGGAGAATCGTGAATCCAGCATTCACTACAAACCAGTTAAAGTCTGAAATGGCCTATATCTGTACTCGACTGTACTGATTTTTACTCGACCAGTCTGAATTAGTCTGAAATTTACTTGATAATACTCGACTGTAGTCTGAACCATACTTAACAGTCTGAACTTGTACTCGACCCTTACTCGGCCAGTACTTAACCATTTTATACGCGTCTGAACCATGCTCAACCTAGTCTGAACCATACTCTACCTAGTCTGAACCATACTTGACCAAGTCTTAACCAACCTAGACCTATTTTTTTGTATCTATCTATTGTATTTCATCAATTTAGGAACTGTTTTTAACAACAGCTATTCCCCCTGGCTAGAAATTTGAATAAAATGCTTCGCTGGGGCGCAGCTTGATACGACCGCAGAGGTCATACCCTGAACAGTTGGGGCAAGTATGGACACAACATTCAAGCTTGATACAGCTCTGAATTTGGATTGTTATTAAATATTTGACACAGCATAGGTTTCTGACACAGAAAGAATGTGGTCTAAGAACTTGAACTTTTTTTAATTTACCTATTATGGTCCAATGTCCAAAATCAAAATACATGGTTAGATTCAGCATATCAAAGAACCCCATATATTCAATTTTTGTTAAAATCAAACAAAGTTTAATTTTGGACCCCAACTTGGACAAACTTGAAAACTGGGCCCATAATCAAAAATCTAAACACATGTTTAGATTCAGCATATCAAAGAACCCTAAGAATTCAATTTTTGCTAAAATCAAACTTGGTTTAATTTGGACCCTTTGGACCTCAATGAAGACCAATTTAAAAAATGGGACCCAAATTAAAAATCTAAAAACACGGTTAGATTTGGCATAGTAAAGAACCCCAATAATTCAATTTCTGATGAAATCAAACAAAGTTTAATTTTGGACCCTTTTCACCTCAATATGAACCAATTTGATAGCGGGGCCTACAAATAAAAAATCTAAATACATGGTTAGATTCAGCATATCAATGAACCTCATATATTCAATTTTTGTTGAAATCAAACAAAGTTTAATTTTGGACCCCAATTTGGACCAACTTGAAAACTGGGCCCATAATCAAAAATCTAAATACATGTTTAGATTCAGCATATCAAAGAACCTCATATATTCCTTTTTTGCTAAAATCAAACAAAGTTTAAATACTGGACCCTATCTTGGACTAACTTGAAAACTGGGCCCATAATCAAAAATCTAAACACATGTTTAGATTCAGCATATCAAAGAACCCCAAGAATTCAATTTTTGCTAAAATCAAACTAAGTTTAATTTTGGACTCTTTGGACCTTAATGTAGACCAATTTAAAAAACAGGACCCAAAATTAAAAATCTAAATACACGGTTAGATTTGGAATATCAAAGAACCCCAATAATTCAATTTTTGATGAAATCAAACAAAGTTTAATTTTGGACCCTTTTGACCTCAATATGAACCAATTTGATAACGGGGTCCACAAATAAAAAATCTAAATACATGGTTAGATTCAGCATATCAAAGAACCCCATATATTCAATTTTTGTTGAAATCAAACAAAGATTAATTTTGGACCCCAATTTGGACCAACTTGAAAACTGGGCCAAAAATCAAAAATCTAAATACATGTTTAGATTCAGCATATCAAAGAACCTCATATATTCCTTTTTTGCTAAAATCAAACAAAGTTTAATATTGGACCCTTTGGACCTTCATATGGATTTTTTTGTAAAAAAAAAAGATGCAACATTTGCAGATATTTTTACTGGTCTTCCTTCATAAATATGCATTTCTTTAAACATAGTTTAAAAGCAGTGTAAGGGAAGTAACCAAAACGTTGTATTTGGATTACCTCCCTTACACTGTTTTAAATTATCTTTATTGTTCATTAACCATTACTTTATACATAATTTAAAAGCAGTGTAAGGGAGATAATTTCAAAGATGTATTTGATTTATCTCCCTTACACTGCTTTAAATTATGTTTTGTACTAAAGTATTTGTCCATTAACCAGGACAA